TGGTTCACCCCACAATGGCCGCTGCGGCTGGCGCACCTTGCTGATCCGAAGCCAGGAACTAAGTGCTTCCTCCTGGTCTCCCATGGGGTGCAGGGCCCAAGCACCTGGGCCATCCTCCACTGCACTCCCGGGCCACAGCAGAGAGCTGGACTGGAAGGGGGGCAACTGGGACAGAATCCGGCGCCCCGACCGGGACTAGAACCCGGTGTGCCGGCGCTGCAAGGCGGAGGATTAGCCTAGTGAGCCGCAGCGCTGGCATTTAATTTGGATTTTTAAAAATATAACAAAAATTTCCTAAATTGGAGAGGCAGAGTGGGACAGAGAGGGAGGGAGGGGCGGGGCGGGGAGGAGAGGACGCTCTCGTCTGCTGGCTCACTCTCCGAATGCCCACCACGGCTGGAGCTGGCCAGGTCTCCTACGTGGGCATTGCTGCTGCTTCCCTGCTGTTCTCTGCTGCACATCAGCAGGAAGCTGGAGTCAGGAGCTGAAGCCGGAAATAGAACTCAGTTACCCTGATGTGACTGGCAGGCTTCTAACAGGAGCCTCACCTGCTGTGGGTGGTCCCTGCCTAGGCTTGGCCCACCTTCTGGTCTCCACACAATAAAGAATTCAGGGAGGAGACACAGGGAAAGGTGAACAGGAAAGCAAGACTTATTTAAAGGGAAAGAGGGTGGGCAAGCTCACGACAGGATGAGCTGGAATCAACAAGGTTCGGGCCATCCTTTTATCAGTCTTGGAGGCATAGGAGGTGGTGTCTGGAGTGGGGCTTAATTGAATATTCAAACTATGCAGAGTTTGGGGCAGGGCTTGGGCCACATCTATTTCCATGCCTTTTTGGGAAATCTCTAAAAGCATCAGTGTGGGCAATGAATTTATTAATTTCCATCCCAGGCTGCCTCCTGCAGAAGTAGAAATACTAAGTGGACACAGATACCATCTGTGAATGGGAACAGAAAATGTAATTATTTAAAAAAAATTTTTGAAGGCTTATTTGAGAGGCAGAGTTACAGAGAAGAGAGGGAAAGACAGAGACAGCAAGTGCTTCCACCTGCTCCTTCACTCCCCTTCCTCCTCAAGGGCAGGGCCAGGGCCAGGAGCCAGGACTTCTTCCGGGCCTCCCACGTAGGTGCAGGGACCCAAGCACTTGGGCCATCTCCCTCTGCTTTCCCAGGTGCATTAGCAGGGAGCTGGACGGGAAGTGGAGCAGCCAGGACACGAACTGGCATTTAGCGGCTTAACGGGCTATGCCACAGCGAAGGTCCCAGGAACAGACTTTATCTTCCAGAGAGGTAACACACACACATTCATGCATGCGAGTGTGGGCAGCCCCACAGAGAAATACCCAACAGAGTTGGTCAAAGAAGTGCTCGTAAACAAACAAAAAACCTGAAACAAACAAAAAAACCTGAAAACCGTACCTCCAAGCTACCGCGGGGGAGGGCCGTCCAAGTCGTCTGCAGTGGACACAAGGCGAACAGTACCTGCAAGCAGGGTCCCCCCCTCCCCACTGCCGACTTCCGCCTCTATTTATAAGCAAGGACTTGGTTCCCAGTCGGATATGCAACCCGGGTGGGGTTCGAGCATGCGCTCTGGTCCTGGCCGCAACAGGTGCCTCCTGGGAAAGCGGGCGTATCAGACTGACAGTTAAAGAGGGTTACATTGCCGGCACAAGAGTTGCAGAGTTCCACGCCCACCTAACTTTAACTACTTAGTTACACTGCATCAGTAGCGTCAGGTGAGAGTGTTGGGCTTAATGACATGATGACGTTACGGTCACCTGAGGGTCATCTCGGGGACCCAGCACACAGCTGTATTGGCTGTTTTCTGCTGGTATGGTTCTGAGTTTGCAACGTCACGGAACTAAGTTTCCTGTACACAGAAGGAGGAGAAAGTTGTGGCAGTGCCCAGCAGGGGCATTTGGACAGTGCACAGAAAGGGATGTTGGGTAGCACACAGAAAGGGGATTTGGGGGCCGGTGCTGTGGCTCAGTGGGTTAAGCCGGTGGCCTGCAGCTTCAGCATCCCACATGGGCGCTGGTTCGAGTCCCAGCTGCTCCACTTCCGATCCAGCTCTCTACTATGGCCTGGGAAAGCAGTGAAAGATGGCCCAAGTGCTTGGGCCCCTGCACCCCCAAGGACACCCAGGTGATCCTGCTACCCCAGCCATTTGGGGAGTGAATCAGTGATGGAAGATATCTCTCTTTTCTGATATCTCTCCAACTCTGCCTCTCAAATAAATAAGCCTTTAAAAAACAAAAAATAAATTACCATGGCTAACGCTTCTACCCCTATCATGCACTCAACACCATGCTGAAAGATATCCAAAAAAGCGTGTGGAAATGGGTGGGGCTCAAAGCCCTGCCCCAAACTCCGCCCCCTTTGAATAGTCCATGAAGCCTCACCCCAGACATCACCTCTATGCCTCCAAGTCGTAAAGGATGGCCCCAAACCTTGTTGATTGCAGCTCATTTTCTCCCGAACCTGCATACGCTCATTCTTGAGTATGTACTTTCACTTTAAAAAGTCATACTTTCCTGCTCATCTCTTTCTATGTCCCTTGAATTCTTTCTCACCTGGAGACGAGAACATGGACCAAACTTAGCCAGGGGCCACCCTGCAACATGAGCACACGGCGCTCCTTGGAATTGCAAACTTGTACCAGTGGAGCTGTGGATTGCTCCCACCGAGTGTGCATTCCGCTGCACTTCCAGTCTTCCCCCTCTTTTTTTTTTTTTAATAAAAATCATATTATTTATCCATTTTATTATTTTATTTATTTGAGAGGCAGAGAGATATTCCATCTGTTGGTTCACTTCCCCAAATGCCTAAATCAGTGGACCAAAGCGGAGAGCCAGAAATTCAATCCGTATCTTTCACGTGGGTGGGTGGCCAGGGACATAAATACCTGAGCCATCACTGCTGCCTCCATGGGTCACCATCAGAAGGAAGCTGGAATCAGGAAGAAGCTCAGAATGGAACACAGGCACTGTGGTGTGGGATGTGGGAGGGTGTCCTTACCACTAGGCCAAATGCTTGCTCATCACAGCCCCCGGCCCCCAAGGCCTTCTGAGCAGCAAGGGAGGTTGCCAGGAAGCAACCTCAGCCCGAAACATGGAGGTGGAAGTCTCCTCCTGAAATACGTAGAGCCAAAAGGATGTACAGGTGGGGCACAGGGCCCGGTGGACTGGGTTAGGATTTGGCATTTGTGGGCGCCCTGGTTTATTGTCATGTAACAACCTCTAAACTGTACCATTGCCCCTAATGTTTACATATGTAATGCTTCTTCCAATGAATTCTCATTTCATGAACTTAATTTTATGAGTTTTGGGGCCAGCGCTATGGCGTAGCGGGTAAAGCCACCACCTGCAGTGCCAGCATCCTATATGGACGCCGGTTTGAGTCCTGGCTGCTCCACTTCCTATGCTGCTCTCTGCTATGGCCTGGGAAAGCAGTAGAAGATGGCCCAGGTCCTTGGACCTCTACACCTGCTTGGGAAGACCTGGAGGAAGCTCCTGGCTCCTGGCTTTGGATCGGCACAGCTCCAGCCATTGTGGCCATTTGGGGAGTGAACCAGCGAATGGAAGACCTCTCTCTCTCTCTCTCTCTCTCTCTCTCTCTCTCTGCCTCTCCTTCTCTCTCTGTGTAACTGACTTTCAAATAAATAAATCTTTAACAACTAAATTAAAAATTTTATGTTTTTTAAAAAAAGATTTATTTATTTGAAAGGCACAGAGAGAGAATCTTCCATCCACTGGTTCACTCACCAAATGGCAGCAATGGCTATGGCTGGGGCTGGGGCTGGGGCTGGGCCCAGCCAAAGCCAGGAGCCAAGAACTCCAACTGGGCCTCCCACTTGGGTGGCAGGGGCATAAGGCCTTGGACCACCCTTCTGCTGTTTTCCCAGGTGCATTAGCCGGGAGCTGGATGAGAAGTCGAGCAGCCAGGACTCCAACTGGTACTCTTATGGGATGCTGCTGTCACAGGGGGCAGTTTAACTTGCTGTGCTTAGCCGGCGCCGTGGCTCAATAGGCTAATCCTCCACCTTGCGGCGCCGGCACACCGGGTTCTAGTCCCGGTTGGGGCGCCGGATTCTGTCCCGGTTGCCCCTCTTCCAGGCCAGCTCTCTGCTATGGCCAGGGAGTGCAGTGGAGGATGGCCCAGGTGCTTGGGCCCTGCACCCCATGGGAGACCAGGAAAAGCACCTGGCTCCTGGCTCCTGCCAGGATCAGCGCGGTGCGCCGGCTGCAGCGGCGGCCATTGGAGGGTGAACCAGCGGCAAAGGAAGACCTTTCTCTCTCTGTCTCTCTCTCTCACTGTCCACTCTGCCTGTCAAAAAAAAAAAAAAAACTTGCTGTGCTACAATGCCAGCCCCATTAGTTTTTTTTACACTTGATCTTAGCCAAAAGGCTGAGAGCCGATTTTTTTTTTATTTTGAATAAGTGTATTAAAACAGAATAAATGTGATATTATGAAAACCCAGTATAGACTTTTTTTTCTAATGTGGAATCAATAGTGAAATAGATGTTTTTAAATCAGGTTAGGAGATATATTAGAAAATAGGAGGTTCCTGCTTTAATGGTAGATATTGGAGATGGACAATCTATCATGTTTTTTATGACAGGTGGCAAGAATTATATTCCCGCTCTCTAAAATTTTTAAGGATTTTTGTATTTGTATTTGAAAAGCAGGGTGACAGGGAGAGAGCAAGCTTCCATCTGCTGGTTCATGCCCCCAAATGGTCGCAATGGCAAAGCCAGGAGCCTGGACCTTCATCCGAGCCTCCCACACTGGTGGCAGGGACCGAAGCACTTCCAGTTCTGTAACTTTACAGCTCTGCCTGGTCCCCTCTGTATATAACACATGCTTTGATGGCTTAATTTCCCGTAGGAGTGGGTGGTGTGAATGCTTCAAACAGCAGTGCTTCTTAGAAGTTGCTACTGCTGTTCACTGTATGAAAAGTTACGCAGAACTTCTTTAACCAAAACAGAAAACACTTCAGAATACTGTCTCAACTTTTATTCAACTTCCCAGGGTAATACAGGGGTATAGACAGCTGCTCCCCCCAACTGGATTTCTAGAAACTAACTCCGGTGAAAACCAACGAGGAAATACAACACTTCCGCAAAATTTTCAGGCCATCCGGACCAATTCTCAGTAGCCAACATTTGCAAATGATATTTTAGGTTATTGCAGTCTTTCAGCTCTTTCATGATAGACAGGTTATTGCATGTCATGACGGAGAGAGCATAGCATGTCCAAAACTGAATGAGGAGGTTGCTCTGTGTGTCGCCTTTGACAGCAGGCTCAAGATTGCTTTCGAAAAACCTAACGAGGATGGGAACAAACTGCAGATGCCTGGCACTTCTCTGGCTGGCATGGTTTAAGTAACACCAACATGCTACGCTCTGGAGCAGCAGGATCTTTGATTTGGACGGCATCTCCTCTTGCAACAAGAAAGCTATTTCTGGCATGTACTCAGCTGCAAATTTCCCAGCATTGGGTCCTCCTATAAAAAGAGAGAGAGAGCGCGCACACATTTCCAGAAGTATTTGGTGTATCTAGTGGCTAGCAATGTCTTGGAGCTATGTGTTCACGTTCTGTTGCCAGGTAGGCAACTCCGTGGGGACTTTGAACTTTCCTCTCTTCCCTACCTCTGCTCCTGTGTTGCTGTAGACAGAACCTGTGTGTTGATAAGCAAGGAGCGATGTGCAAAGCATGGGGTGGTTACTGCCTGCCTAAGCCTCCCCTCCAGGTTCCTTTCTTCGCGTTTCTTGGAGTATTTCATGGTGTGTAAAACCTGGCTAAGTCTGCCCAGCACATTGCCATCAGAGTCTCATTCCCAGTTCTCCAGCATCAAGGTGGGGGGTGGGGCGGAGAATGGAAGGAGCAAAGAGAATGGCCAAAGGCTGAGCAGCAGTGGCCAGGGACAAACACTCCCTGATCGTCCTCATACGCGGAGGCTCAATGTGCACTGACCACACAGAAGCTGCGAGTAGCACGGTGATGGCGAGGCGAGGGTGGAGAGAAGGAGGTTGGGTACCAAGAACCAAAGCAGTTAGATAGGAGCAGTAAGTTCTAGTGTTCCTGGCACAGCACAGCACCTACAGTTTACAGCAGCTTCTTCTATATTTTATAAAGAACTGGAGGAGAAGAGCTCCAAGGCTTCAAATCATTGGCGAGGAGAGGGAACTGTTAGTTACTCTGATTTGATGAGTATACATTGTATCTACAGTTATTTATGTGTGGGTGTTATAAAGGAATGAGGAGGACACAACAGGCTGAGAGCGCAGCACACACTGAGAACTGTGGCTTTCACGAGCTGTTGGCCCTTGTTGTCCCGTCCTCCTGAGCAGACCTGGAGCAGTGTGACCTTACCAGCTTTTTCTTCCTTCCACCGCCAGCCTGGCCCTCAACCCCACTTGTGCCACATTCCTGAGCCCCAGATTGTTGCGGTTCCAAGCTCAAACTCTGTTGTCAAGGTACTAGCCAGGAAGGTGCTAGGTAGAGACCCCTGGAAGGGAGGGTGTCTGGGAACCCCACCTGCTGGGGTGGGCACCCCTTATCCTTCGCTTGGGAGTATCTCCTGAGCTTCTGGTCTTCTCTCCAGCCTTGTGCACCTTGGTTCCCAACAATTCTGATACCAACTGCTCCTTTTACTGTTTTCTCTAATGGACGCCATTCTTAGAGTCCATCAAACCACATCCAAGTAATTCACTTTGCCACTTCAAAAAATATCAGCTGGGGCTGGCACCATGGCGCAACAGGTTAAGCCACCGTCTGCAGCACTGGCATCCGATATGGGCACCAGTTGGAGTCCCAGCTGCTCCACTTCTGATCCAGAGCCATGCTAATGTGCCTGCAAAACCAGCAGAGGATGGCCCAAGTGCTTGGGTCCCTGCACCCACGTGGAAGATCCGGATGAAACTCCTGGCTCCTGACTTTAACTTGGCCCATCTCTGGTTGGTGTGGCCATTTGGGGAGTCCAGCTTTGGCTTGTTGTGGGCCTTTTAGGAGTGAACCAGTAGGTGGAAGATCTCTCTCTCTCTCTCTCTCTGCCTTTCAAATAGATAAAAATAAATAAACTTTTTAAACAGTAGTAATGTATCAGGCTGTTTTACTCTGCATTGGCATCCTATCATGAGATTAGAATTATGTCAGCTCATAAAAACTTTATCTGAAAGGCAGAGAAATAGGGAAATGGGAAAGAAAGAAAAAGAACAAGATCAATCAATCCAGGTTTCCCACATGGGTGTCAGGGACCTAAGGCCTTGAGCCATCATCGGCTGCTCAGGGTGCCCAGGGTGCACACTGGCAGGAAGCTGGATTACAAACGCAGAGTAACCAGGACTCAAACCAGGCACTCTGACATGGGATGTGGGTGTCCCAGCGTCCTCTTAAAAGCTGCACCAAACAGCCGCTCCCGAAACACCTACTTAACAGCACAGCTGGTTAAGATCAGTACCTGTGAAAGCCAACAATCCAATTCTGTGGGCGGCTTGAGCTCTCTTTTCAATGGATGCAGAACTGTCCTTCAACGTACAGCCAAGGAGCACAATTTTTTCTTTGTGAAAAATACTTTCAGACGAAGGGATAAGCTCTTCCTCCTTTTTCTTAACAAAACAGCCCTTCACAGAGACACTCCAGAATTTACAAAGGCTGTGACACAGCCCCCTAAAACACTGTTCCATCGCAGCACAAATCCACACTCAAAAAACCTGGCTGTTCCTCATTGTGCGTGAAGGTCAAGGGTGCTTCTGGTATCCACCAGTAGCAACAGAACTTAACAGCCAGGAACTCCAGAATGCACTGCTTAGCAACACTGTGGAGAGGAACATACAAGTGCAAACCTAGGGAAAGCAACACGTGCCTTAAGCGTAGAAGACCATCTACAGTTTGAACTAAACTCTCTTTACTTTCTCTTCTCTGGTTCATCTGGTTCACAAAGCCTCAGCTTACACGGCTTTCCTGACTCATGCCTATCTGGGCACCTTGGCCCACTCTACTCCGATTTTTTTTTTTTTTTTTTTGACAGGCAGAGTGGACCCTGAGAGAGAGAGAGGGAGAAAGGTCTTCCTTTTCCATGGTTCACCCCCCAGTGGCCGCTGCGGCTGGCGCACCGCGCTGATCTGAAGCCAGCAGTCAGGCACTTCTCCTGGTCTCCCATGCGGCTGCAGAGCCCAAGGACCTGGGCCACAGCAGAGAGCTGGCCTGGAAGAGGGGCAACCGGGACAGAATCCGGCGCCCCGACCGGGACTAGAACCCGGGGTGCCGGCGCCGCAGGCGGAGGATTAGCCTAGTGAGTCACGGCGCCGGCCTCTACTCTGTTCTAACATGCAAGTGCTTCTTTCCACTGATGTTTCACAGGATGGCACCTCTTCTGTGTGTTATCCAGAGCAATCACAAGAGAACTTCCCTAACTCTCACCAGTGCATCCGCCACCGACTGCACCTGTGCCTCCATGCTGCTCCTTCCTGTTCCTATAGCCCCTCCCTCTCTGCTGGTTTCAGACAGCCCGTTCACCCCATTCAGGAAGCTGTGCTTATGCTCTTAGCTTGTCTTAATAATTCCTCCATCTCAATTGGATTATTAGCATCATCAACAGACACACCGGAAAAAGTAACTCTTGACCACGTATATTTCTTCCCCCTCCCCCGCACTGCACTTGCATTTCTCTGCTCCCTTTCATCGGACGACTCTTCAAGCAATTGCCACAGTGACCATCTTATGTCTTTTTTTTCCCCCATTCTCTTTTGGAATCCAAATAGGATTTTAATCTCCTGGCTCCACTGAAACTTCCCCTTTGGTTCACAGTTGGTGTTTATTCTGGCTGAATCCAAGTCTCACTTCTTCAGCATTTGTCACTCCCCTCTCCTCGACACACTTTTTTTTTTTTTTTTGACAGGCAGAGTGGACAGTGAGAGAGAGAGACAGAGAGAAAGGTCTTCCTTTGCCGTTGGTTCACCCTCCAATGGCCGCTGCGGCCGGCGCACTGTGGCCGGCGCACCGCGCTGATCCGATGGCAGGAGCCAGGAGCCAGGTGCTTTTCCTGGTCTCCCATGGGGTGCAGGGCCCAAGCACCTGGGCCATCCTCCACTGCCTTCCCTGGCCACAGCAGAGAGCTGGCCTGGAAGAGGGGCAACCGGGACAGAATCCGGCGCCCCGACCGGGACTAGAACCCAGGGTGCCGGCGCCGCTAGGTGGAGGATTAGCCTGTTGAGCCACGGCACCGGCCTCGACACACTTCTGTCATCTGGCTTCTCAGATATTTTGCTTCTAGCAGCCCCTCTTCATTTTCCTTGGCTTCCCTTTTTTGGGGTCTTTAAATACTGGAGTGAACCTAGGCTCCCTCCTTGAGTCTTGTTTTTCTTGCTGTATGTCCTAGATGAGAGAAGCCAGGCTCATGACTCTATCATCCAGCAGATGGAAGATCTCTGTCTCTCCTTCTCTCTCTCTCTGCAGCTCTACCTTCCAAATAAATACATACATATTTTAAAAAAAGAAAATATGTATGTATTTATTTTGAAAGTAAGAGTTACCAAGAGGCAGAGGCAGAGGCAGAGAGAGAGAGAGAGAGGTCTTCCCTTCTCTGGATCATTCCCCATATGGTTGCAACAGCCGGAGCTGGGTCAATCCAAAGCCTGGAGCTTGGAGCCTCCTCTGGGTCTCCCATGTGGGTGCAGGGACTTGGGCCACCAAGCTCTACTGCCTTCTCAGGCCATAGCAGAGGGCTGGATCGAAGTGGAGCAGCTGGGACTAGAACCAGCGCCCATATGGGATGCCGGCACCAGAGGCCAGAGCTTTAACCCTCTACTTTCAAAACACATCCAAAATATATCCCTGTCTATACTCTTCAAATATATTACTGTGAGAAAGCAAAAAACAAACACAGGACATTACCAGGACAACTGGGGAAGCCTAGACCTTTGTTTTCCCGTAGAGTAAACGTTAGCCAAGGTGACTACCGTGCATCTGCAATGTGGCTAAGTGAACTAAGAGGTGCTGGAGGTGTGAAATGCGCACTGCAGTCCAAAGCCTTAGCGTGAATGACAGAATGTAAAATCTTTCATGAGCAATTTTTTTTTTTTGACAGGCAGAGTGGACAGTGAGAGAGAGAGAGAGAGAGAGAGAAAGGTCTTCCTTTTGCCGTTGGTTCACCCTCCAATGGCCGCCACGGCCGGCGCACTGCAGCCAGCACACCGCGCTGATCCGATGGCAGGAGCCAGGTGCTTATTGTGGTCTCCCATGGGGTGCAGGGCCCAGGCACTTGGACCATCCTCCACTGCACTCCCGGGCCACAGCAGAGAGCTGGCCTGGAAGAGGGGCAACCGGGACAGAATCCGGCGCTCTGACCGGGACTAGAACCCAGTGTGCCGGCGCCGCAAGGCGGAGGATTAGCCTGGTGAGCCGCGGCGCCGGCCTCATGAGCAATTTTTATACTGTTTGCATTTGGAAATCTTTTAGACATATTACGTTCAACAAAATATATCAGTGAAGTTTATTTCTCATTTTTAAAATTAAAAGCTCTAACAATGTGGCAAGTAGAAAATCCACAACACCAGGCATGGCCCCTTCTCTAGGTCTCTGTACTTATGTTGCCTGTGGCTGGCCCACGCCTCCCAGGGGTGGCCCACGTGGCTGCACCATCAGTTCTTTGGTTGTTCTTCAACTGCAATTTTCTGAGGCCTTTCCTGACTGCCCTCCCCGCCCCAACCTGGCCTGGTGGCATCAGTATCCCCTCTGCCGCACTGTCCCCTCCTCCCCACATGGAAACCCTGTGAAGGCAGGCATGCTCATTTGCCTTTTGCCTTTTCTTCATGGCTCTACCTCTGAAGTCACAGGCCTTGGCACATCCCTTATTCATAGCCAATATGCTCCAATACTTGTTGAATAAATGAGAAGCTGGAGATGTAGTTTTTAGCAGGAACTATTGTCCACTCCCCCCACACAAGGTATACTTAAAATTCTTTCAAAAGCAAAAGAGTGGCGCAGTTGTTGGGGTGCAGCAGGCTAACTGCCACTTGAGGTGCCCACATTCCCTAGATGAGTGCCTGGTTCAAGTCCCAGCTAATCTGCCTTTCTGATCCAGCTGCATGCAGATGTGCACCCTGGGAGGCAGTGCATGATGGCCCAGGAACTTGGTTTCCTGCCACCCACATGGGAGACCTGGATGGGGTTCCTGGCTCAGGGATTTGGCCTGGTCCAGACCTGGTTGTTGTTGTCATCTCTCTCTCTCTTTTTCTCTCTGTTGCTCTGCCTTTCAAATAAATCAAACTATATAAATACACTTTGAAAAAAAGAGATCTGATGAACATTCCAGAGAAAGAAAAAAATTGTTCCTTAAAAATCAAAAATAGTTTTTGTTTAATAAGAGGTATTGACTCCAGGAAAGTGTCAAGGGTAGAAAGATTTCTTTTTCTATCTGAGTCAACTGCTTTTCTGATACAGTGAGAAGCACTGATGTTTTATGCTGCATTTAGATTGATGATTTGACTTTATAATTTTGAAGGTAACCAAGGTAATTCAGCTAAGCAGGATAGCAACAAAAGATACAGGGGAAGTTGTATATGCCACAGACTCAATAAAAGCCATCACTGGTACTTAAAGAGTCTCTTGGTAAACACTTGCAGCTGAAACCAGTGGTGCGCGTGGTAAGATCTTGGCCTGGGAACAGACAAATAAGTGAGGGCTGTTTTTGGCCTCAGTGAGCTTAGGGTCTCCATACACGGACACAGCAACTGTGAAACGCAGCTCTTTTTCCAGCAAACAGCTTTACAAGAAATCTGACATTTAAAAAAAATATTTATTATCCCCATTTGTAGCTGGAGGGATTTCAAGAGGAGAGTACACTCAAGTTGAGATAATAAGGCCTGCTTTGTCCCTAAATAGTGTGTGGAAAAAAATACATCAGACTCCACATGAGAATAGTAATTCAAAAATAATTTTATTTTAACTTCCATGATTGAGTGATGAATACAAATGCCACAAAACGAAAAGCACCCATCAACCAAAAATAATATGCAGAAGTGAATACAAAAGTCACGGAATTATGCATGCGATATTCGAAAAATTTTAAAAAACCAAACAGAAACAAACCAAACAGAAATCCTGGAACATCTGGGATTTGACTTTCTATAAAAAGAACCATTTCAACCATTTAGACCACAAATTATACACACCAACTATGGACTGTACAGTGTACCTTAAAATGAAGCATAGATGTGTGTATATATAATATTTATAAATATACAAATATGTACATTATGACTTCACAGTTGAAAGAACTGTTTTGCCAGAAGCTTGGCAAGCAGTTCCCACTTTAAAATGAAATGAATCCTTTTTTAAAAGTCTTGCTAAAATGTAAATATTTAAAATGACATCCAAGTGATATTTTATATGAACACATCCAGAGATAACAGCTGATATTCCACAGTTTAAATTACGGTCACGCACACTGTTTAATACCTTGGCATACCTCACCTGGTATACTCTTCAGAGGAAGAAAAGTGGCTTAGGAAAAGCTACTGGGCGGTTTCCACTTCGCTTAATGCACTTGCTACCCTGACGCTGAAGCAGTTCCAGGAGCAGTTGTTCTGTTTGGCCAGTGGCTCCCACCTGGCTGTGAGTGACTTCTCTGCGGCCAGGCTCCATCCCTCAGGGCACCCCTCTGGCTCAGCGCGGGAAGCAGGGCCCGCTTTTATTTTTTTTTAAAGGAGCAACCGGGACAGAATCTGGTGCCCCAACCGGGACTAGAACCCGGGGTGCTGGCGCCGCAGGAGGAGGATTAGCCTAGTGAGCCGCGGGGCCGGCCAGGGCCCACTTTTACTGACCCTCCACTCCTGCCCCATTGGGTCCTTCAGAGCCAGGCTCTTCCGCCTGGAGGAGTATCACAGTTTTCTGAATGCACAGCTTTTGGTTTTGATTTGTCTTAGCAGCAAAATACCTCTAAGGTAAGAGTATCATAAAAAAATGGCTTTTGTTAATTAAACAAAAAAATAAAGCCGAAGCTTTGAGTTTCCTGTTTGCTTTTAAGAGTATGAACGTCATCTCCCTAAGGGAGGTCTACCTGTCTTTGTTGCACAATGGAAACACAGGTTTGGAATTTTCAAGATCAAGAAAAGAAACAAAAGATACAGTGGGAGCTTACAACAGTGAAGTTAAAAAATTACACTCTTACAGTAGGCCATTTTGCCAGGTTCTGCAGGCAAATTTTTGTCTAAAGAAATTCTCTTTTTTTTTGTGCTTCATATTTAAAGTAAAATCAGGTCACTAAAGGGATCACACAACCCTGAGACCACGACAGAAAAAAAAAACAAACAGCAAGGCATTGGATATTTATGGAAATACCGCGTGACTATTTCAAGCTTATAGAATTTCCAAAAAAGTACAAAGATGGCGATTTTAAAATTTCATACCTATCAAGGTAAGACGGTAAATACTTGCATCGAGTACTGTTGACACAACCGATGATGTCGTTTACTGAGTTACACACAGCCCTGTGCTGTCAGCCAAAGGGAAAGTACATCGGTTCTGTGAATCTGAACTCACAAGGCTTCCGGCGACATGTTCAATTTCCAGCCAACCTCAGCGGCGAACCCTTCACGCTGGAAACACTTTGCAGCAGGGGCCAGGCGGTGAGCCGGCTGTCGGGCAGAGCGGACGCGTCATCAAAAGGCGGTGGCCACTTCGGCCCCATGCCGACCTCCGACTTTTACACAGTCTCGAGGAAATTTGTCCAGCTGCTCATAGGCCAGGCGGCCAGCTTCCCCTGGGTACAGAACGTCACACATGAACACCAACTCCGGTTTAACGTTTGCCGATCATCACACAGAACACACGGAGGTATGGAGGGCTACCTTGTTCTATGTTAACTTGAGGTAAGGAAAAGTTATCTTTTGTTATTCGTAGTTATGTCATTGTATTCTAGGTAACAAACAAAGAACTTTGGAGTTAATGCTAGAGTGTGAAACCGAACAGGAAGTCCTATGGCCAATTGATGTGGATAATTCCACAGAATAGCTTTACACCTAAGGGACCACATGGATTCTGTTCTAAGTGCCTGAGGGATTTCCATACGGCTGGCCCCTGACTTCAGAGCATTCAACTTCTACTTGTATATACCACATATTGCAGCGCCCACATGATCAGTGACAAAAGGCCAATGTAGACTTGCAAACTTCAGCTAAAAATGGCTCTCCGCCACATACACCTATGGTGGTGCCTCCTACAGCCAACAACTAATTCAGCTTTGCCCGCAGCACCGGCTGTCTGCCACAGTCGAGGGGTATGTGTAAATAACTTTACTATTATGTCCCATTTTCTTCCTATTTCTGATGATGAGAGAATGGGAAGGTGAAGTTCAGAGACACACGTTTAATGTAAGTGAGACAAAGACAGAAATAGTTGGCTCAATCCAAAGTTCACTGTGGAGGAAAACAAAAGACAAAGACCCATGATGGGGCCGGCACTGTGGCACAGCAAGTTAAAGGCCTGGCCTGAAGCGCCAGCGTCCCATATGGATGCTGGTTCGAGACCTGGCTGCTCCATTTCCGATCCAGCTCTCTACTATGGCCTGGGAAAGCAGTGGAAGATGGCCCAAGTCCTTGGGCCCCTGCACCCATGTGGGAGACCCGGAGGGAGCTCCTGGCTCCTGGCTTTGGATTGGTGCAGCTCTGGCTGTTGCGGACATTTGGGGAGTGAATCAATGGAAGGAAGACCTTTCTCTCTCTCTCTCTGCCTCTTCTCTCTCTGTGTAACTCTGACTTTCAAATAAAATATAAATAAATCTTAAAAAAAAGACCCATGAAATGCTGGAAGCATATTATTATGAATGAGCTTTAGCAAAGGAGCAAAATCATGGATTTTATATTACAGCTGTCACATGGCATCTGTGGGTACTGGGTTCCAGGACCCCTTTGAGATAACCCCAAATCTGCAGCTGCTCAAGTCTCTTATATTAAATGGGGTAGTATTTGCATTTAAAATTTACATTTCTTTTTTTTAAAGATTTATTGATTTATTTGAAAGTCAGAGTTACACAGAGAGAGGAGAAGTAGAGAGAGAGAGAGAGAGAGAGAGAGAGTCCATATGGGATGCCGGCGCTTTAGGCCAGAGCGTTAACCTGCTGTGCCATAGCACCGGCCCCTATAATTTGCATTTCTGTTTACTTTATTTCATCTCTAGAAGACTTACAGTACCTAATACAGTGTACATGCTGGGTATGAAGTTACAGAGTTGAATTGTTTAGAAAATGATTATTTTAAAAAATCTGGGGCAGATTAAGGTGGTGAGAGGGTTAAGCTGCTCCTTGTGAAGCCAGCACCCCATTTGGAGTGGTCACTGGAGTTGCAGCTAATTCACTTCTGCTCTAGCTTCCTGCTAGTGCACTTGGGAAGGCAGTGGATAATGGCCCAAATGGCTGGGTCCCTGACCCCCACACGGGAGATGAATGGAGTTCCTGGCTCCTGGCTTCAGGCGGATCCAGCTCAGTTTGGACATCTGGGGAGTAAACCAGCAGATGGAAGATTTTCTCTCTCTCCCCCTCTTTGTCACTCTTCCTTTCAAACAAATAAATGTATCTTTCAAAAAAAAAAAATCTGGAGGGGTCATCTGGCTGCTTGGGATACCTGCGTCCCATCTCGAAGAGCTTGGGTTTGGGTCTCAGCTGTGTGTCCAGTTCTAGCGTCCTGCTGAATACACTCTGGGAGGCAGTAGACCATGGCTCAAGGAGCTGGGTCCCTACCACTTAGGTGAGCGTCCTGCATGGAGATCTGGGCTCCTGACTTTGGTCTCCTCCAGCCCCAGTGGTTGTGGATATCTGGAGGGTGAAGGAGTGGGTGGAAAATCTTTCTCTGTCTGTCTACGGCTTTTTGTCCATCAAAGACAGTCACAGTGGACAAGTTCAAGTGGTCAGTAGTCACATATGAGGGTACCTCAAAAAGTTCATGGAAAATGGAATGCAACATAATTTTGGAAGAAAAACTGTTATAATCCATGCATAGTTTCCTCATAATATCTGTTTTCCACAAACTTTTTGAATACCACTCGTGAGTATCAGCTACCATGTATAGAATATCCCCATCCTAACAGAGGGACCTATTGGACATCCCTAGGTTAAAATATTGAAATACTTTCATGAGGAATAACTATTTTATCCCTTAAACAAACATATACTGGTTAAGATTTCTGTGCAATGAATGAGAATTGTCTAGCAGAATGAAGCCTTATGAAACCTATATCTATAAGAAAAAAGGCTTAACAATGAGTGGGATTTTCATGGCGACTGTAAATGCTACCAGAACCTCTGGCACCTCCTTAAGCTACTACAAAAGAGGGTAGCATTTTTCTAAATAGCATTAATGACTGGATTATGTTTAAACACTTGCAGGGGTATAGTTTTTAGACTCTAAGGGTGTGGTGTTATAGTAAAATTATTGTTACGAATATACTTTTTAATGCAGAGTTTTTATACTTTTTAATGCAGAGTTTGGAAGGCTTTCCCCACTTTCCCAAGTCCCCAAATCAAAGTATGAAACCTGCTGGGCATGAACCTGTTTAAAGAAAAGGGAAGGAGAAAGGTCATCTGACACTCTAGAATAAATTGAAGACTTCAGATCTTTCCTTGGGGGTCAGAGCTCAGGTGGGCCTAGACCAGAGGGCCATGAGAGAACTGGGAGTCAGGGCAAGGCTGAGGTTTGGGGTTACAGCATGTCCTGGAGACACATCCCAGGCCCCTTGGCCACTGTCCTGTAGGGAGTGCCACCCCACGCTGGCCACCCAGCCTGGATTCCTGTTGCCTCTACTTTCAGGTTTGACCTCTGCATTCTGGGTTCCAGATAGCACACAAACTGAAGAAGCCACAAAGTGAGGCCAGCAGAGTGACCTCCGTGTCACGCTGTCAGCGTCCAGACAGCAAGGACGGGCAGCCGGAGTGGGACGGACACTCTGGGGTTCCCGACATTCTGGGCGTGAGTTACCAGCCTCCGAGAGAAACACTGCTCAAACAGGGCGCAGGAAGCTTTTCTTTACGCTTGCCTTGGAGGGGGTCAGAGGCGGACAGTCACCACCACCACCAACATAGAAGAAAGAAAGAGAGAACTCACCAAGGGACAAGAGGGTCTCGGAGGCCACACTCCTGAGCTCCTCGGTGTCCGACTGACACAGGGTCACCAGCATCTTAATGCTTTCCGTAGCCTGTGGCAGAAAAGAGGGTTACTGCTCTGACACTTCGGCCTGGGGATCAGGGAGACTTTTCATTTCTTAGCTGGGAGGGACTCCAAAAGTGGTCTTCCCTAGGGCCTCCCACACACAGCGGAATGTCGGGCTCACTCTCAGAGTTTCCTTGAAAGCGTGGATTCCTTGGGGAAGGTGTTTGGTAAGGTGGTTAAATCGCTGCTTGGGACACACGCACCCCATACCGGGATGCCTGGTTTGTGTCCTGGATACTCCACTACTGATCCAGCTTCCTGCTAATGTGGCATCAGATGATGCCTCAAGTATGTGGGTCCCTGTCACTCTTGTGGGAGACCTGGACAGAGCTCCAGGCTCTGCGATTCCACCTGACTCAGCTCTGGCTGTTGCAGGCATTTGTGGAATGAACCAGTGGATGGAAGACCTCTCTCTCTCTTCTCTCTCTTCTCTCTCTTCTCTCTCTCTCTCTCTCTCTCTCTCCGCATCTCTTCCTCCCTTTCTTCCTTTCAAATACAATGAAAATAAATAAATTTTAAAAAATATAGACTCCTGGCTGCACTGCATTTCAACCTCTGTCGCCCTAGATTTGTAATTGAAGGCGCTCTGAGCATCAGTTAATTTCTCACTTCTCTAGGAGGACGCCACGCTTAGGAGAGTGCAGTGACTGCTTTTCCAGGATAACCCATTCTTTCTATGACAGTTCCAGTTCTCCTGTCTAAATATCAAAAATCACACTGCACCCCATAAATACACGCCATTATTATTCATTGATTAAAAATAAGTAAAAACTTAGAGAATCCCTAGCATTCAGCTTATACACTGATGGGAAGTCTTCCCTTCTACACACATTCATTGACCACCCTGCGAACCAGCCCCTTCACAAGGAGATTTCTCCATGAATTACACGCAGTCCTGGCCCTCGAGAGTTCACAGCTGAGGGCCCGCACTGTGCTGCAGCAGGTTAAGCCACCGTCTCTGACGTTGACATTCCATATGGGCACCAGTCTGATGCTCTCCTTCCAATCCAGCTCCCTGCTAATATGACTGGAGAAGCAGCAGAAGGTGGGCTAAGTGCTTGGGCCTCTGCCACTCACATGGGAGACCTGGATGAAGCTCTTGGCTCCTGGCTTTGGTCTGGCCCAGCCCTGGCTGTTGTGGCCATTTGGGGAGTGAACCAGTGGATGGAAGACCTCTCTCTCTCTGCCTCTCTCTCTCTAACTCGGCCTTTCAAATACATAAAGAAACTTTTAATTAAAAAAAAAAAAGTTTACAGTGAAGTGGAAGGACAGATTGTTAAAACTTTGAATAATTAATGTAACAAGAATGGGAACCTGCTAGGCAGGGAAGCCTTCTGATATCTTAAGGGTTAAGTTAGGATGCGTGGAAGGTACATGTTATGCACATATAGGAGGTGGGGAGTATTTGGCGTACAGAAAAGAGAAAATAATAAATTCTAGACCAGGAAAATAGCTGTGGCAGGACTCAGAAGCCAGAGGTGGCAGGAGAGACATTGGAGAAGGCGGCAGGGAGAAATCAGAGAAAGTCTTACATGCCATGTCAAGGGTTCTGGACTTAATCCCAAGTTTTTGTCTTACTTGGTGTCTGTATCTTGAGCATAATATTGCAGGAAGCCCCAGAAGAGTGACAGCAGGACTCGGTTCTATCATGAGCATTCTAGTTGGAGAGGGTGAGCCGAAGAGGCAGGCAGGCTGGCAGAACATAGGAAAGGAAAAGGGGGGGGGGTACCTGCTGCCACCACTCATTAAAAAAGTAATCACCTTTTCTGACAAACCAGCAAGGGTTGATGGGCCCAGGGGGAGGGGATCTTCTTGAGTCTGCCCTGTTTTTTTTTTTTTTTTTTTTTTTTTTTTTTTTTTAAGATTTACCTATTTATTTGAAAGTTAGAGTTACACAGAGAGAGGAGAGGCAGAGAGAGAGAGAGGTCTTCCATCTGCTGGTTCACTCCCCAAATGGCAGCAACAGCCGGAGCTTCGCAGATTCAAAGACAGAAGCCAGGAGCCTCCTCTGGGTCTACCATGTGGATGCAGGGACCCAAGGACTTGGGCCATCTTCTATTACTTTCCCAGCTGCATTAGCAGGGAGCTGGATTGGAAGTGGAGCAGCTGGGTCTCGAACCGGCGTCCACACAGGATGCTGGCGCTTCAGGCCAGGCAGTTAACCCACTGTGCCACAGCGCCGGGCCCTGCTGTTTTTCACACCATGCTACATGAGCCCCTTTCGGCAGCTGGGGCCTACATTCTAGCAGAAGAGACAAAGGGGAGGAAGCTGGATCTCTCCCTTGGGTCAGGCCAGAGTCTACACCTGCTCTCCTCCTCACCGCAGCACATCCGTCCATTATAAGCCACAGGTCACCGTCTCCTGGCTTTACCTACACTTAGTCCATCACGCACACCGCACAGCAGGAGAGTGCCCAAACAGTACCCAGCGTGGGTTTTTTTGGCCACCTGAAGGCAGTTTTTGGACCCAGTCACAGGGAATGCGGCCTTCCCCAGAGCTGTTTGCCTTCACAGCTCATTGACTTTCTCTCTGGAGGCACTAATTCCTTTCTCCCAGCTCTGTGGGGCCTGCGGGCCCGCTGCCCCTTGTCCCACCACCCAGCCAGGACCTGAGCGAGTTCTCACGGGTGGCCTGCTCATTCAGCTCTGCAGGCTGATGACCCATTATTTTGCTGATATAGGCAGGTCAAACATTAAGCCTGGCCTGTTGAATAGACAAGTCTTTCCTGCTGGGATTTCTCAGCCTCATAGGTTTCCCTGTACATTCTAGCTCTCTCCCTGCCCAGTAATTTCCCTCGGACACAAGTAAGCTTGGTTAGTTGTTTCCTAAAAAAGAGTTTGAGGCAGGGGCCTGAGAATTCAGCAGCACGGTGGACGTTAGCAGTTCTTCGCAAATTGTATTTGTCCCTGTTATTTGTTGTGTACAATAGAAATGGGTGAAGTCAACATTATCATCCCTCCTTTGGGACAAGATAAGCCATTCCTAATATGGGACTAAAGGCAAATGACTCCTGTGGGCTCTGGCACAACATCACTGTTTTCTGTCCCTTGTGGACTTGCACAGAACAGTCCTAAAGGCAGAAACGGATCTGAGAACTAACCTACAGCGCCAAGGCTGTAACAGGTGCTTTCAAAGACAGCAGGGCAGGTGCTGGGCTTTACCTGGAGGCTCCTCAGGGCCAGGCAGGCCGCCTTCTGCAGCTGCAGGTTTGTCTGGGTCAGGGCTTCACAGTAATAGAGCAAGGCCTGAAAGACAAGGAGCGAGCCTGTGAGATGTTTCCATCCTGGGAGAGATCCAGAATAAAACCACACATTTCACACTGCTTTCAGAAAAAAAAAAAAAAAGCCACTGAAATTCATGGTGATTAAAAGAAACTATTTGTGTATTCAACAAACTGGTCCCTTTTAGTCTACCAGTCATACAGTCTGGAGAATATGAAGTTGGGATATGGAAAGTTGCATTTCTAGCTTTTGTTTAAAAAAAATTGATTTTTCCCCCTTTGTTGGTTTTCAAAAGAATGAGCTGGTTCATTAGCAAACCTCCAACAGTGACTGAATGCTTTTATTTTAACAGTATGTGATCTTTAAATTTTTAGTTGACATGCAAAACCTGTGCTTACTTATGGGGTTCAATACAATACTTTGATCCATATACACAATCTGTAATGATCAAATCAGGGTAGTCAGCATTTTTGCCTTCTGAAACATTTCTTATCTCTAAGTAATGGCAGTCATCTCTTCCCTTCTAGACTGAAGGAGATCATGAATTGTTGTGGATGATGGTTGTCCTACTGTGAGAATTCGTTCCTCTTACCTGTATTTTGTCACCTATTATCTAACCTTTTTAACTTTTCTCTACCCTTGCTCCTTCTAAGTAATAATCCAATATTTTTTTTTAAGATTTATTTACTTATTTTGAAAGTCAGAGTGGGAGTGAAAATGAGAGAGAGAGAGAGAGAGATCTTTTATCTGCTAGCTCACTCCCCTGGTGGCTGCCATGACCAGGGCTGGGCCAGGCTGAAGCCAGGAGCCAGGAGCTTCCTCCAGGAACCACAGGGAATGAATGCATTAGATGCCATAAGAAAACTAAGAGATGGAAAAGAGATACGCTATGCAGGGCCCGGGTTTGACACCTGGCTCTGGCTCCTGCCTCCAATTTCCTATGAATGCACACTCTAGGAGGCAACCGGTGATGTCCCAAGTAGATAGGTTCCTGCCCCCCACATGGGAGACCCAGACTGAGTTCTTGGCTCCTGGCTCCAGCCTGGCCAGGCCTGGCTGTTCTAGGCATTTGGGGAGTGAACCCACAGATGAGAGCACTCTCTGCTCTCTCCTGTGTCTCTAATAAATAAACTTTTAAACAGAAAAGTTTCTTAATTTTTCCCTATTTCTTCCTAAGTGATTTATTGCATGTGTAGTCCCCATCTTTAATCTGAATTCTGATGAAGAAGACTCACTGTAAGTCCTAGTAGTTCATAGGAAACTTAATGATGGAGCCGGCCCTGTGGTGCAGTGGGTTAAACTGCTTCCTGCAGTGCTGGCATCCCATTGGGTGCAGGTTCAAGTCTGGCTGCTCCATTTCAATCCAGATCCCTGGTATTGTGCCTGGGAAAGCAGCGCAAGATGGCCCCAGTGCTTGGGCCCCTGCAGCCGCGTGGAAGACCTGGAGGAAGCTCCTGGCTCTTGGCTTTGGCCTGGTTCAGCCCCAGCTGTTGCGGCCATCTGGGGAGTGCACCAGCAGATTCAAGGTTTCTCCCTTCATCTCTGTAACTCTGCCTTTCAAATAAAATAAATAAATATTTTTAAAAAATAAGAATTACTTTTGAAGAGAATTGGGGGTGGGATGGAAGAGCTAACTCGTTTTATTAGACCATCCTGTGCATTTAGGGCTATGTGCCTGAATTCTCTTCATTTTAAAAAGCAGAACTCAAGTCGCATCAGCACACTCTCACGCATCACTAAACGGTGCCACGGTGTCTCTTACACCACAGCGTTCACCGAGATGGACCCCTTTTCCGTGGCCGCGGGGCTTGTTGAGGTGTCAATTTCATGCCCGGACCATGACCATGGTATCTCTGCCCCCAGCACACTGGCAACAAGGTATCTCCTCCTCCAGGGTGGCTGTGCCAGCCAGGAGCAGCCCCATTCCCGCCTGCCCCCCTCCCCACCTGACATCAACAGGTGCTCCTGAGGGGCGTCTCTGACCCAGCTGGCTCCTCTTCCCTTGTGGGCTCTTTTCCTACATACTTCACCCACCCCATTTCCCTCTGTGACGGGTCCACCTCAGCAGCTCTTATGTTTTTTAAACTAAGTGTTGTTACTTATATGTATCCATCTGTATATGCAGATATATCTCCAATTTGTATCTCAACTCCCTGGACATATGATTTTGGGCATATGAATATTAACTTCTCATGCAAAATGGGTGTAAGACCCACTCCCAGGGCTCTGTGAATCTTAAATGGGGTGACACCTGTCCAGGACTGAAAACCAGCACTAAAAACAAAGTAAACCCTCAAAAAAGATTGCTGTAGGGATCAGCGCTGTGGCATCGCAGGTTAAGCCACTGCTTGCAACACCAGCATCCCGTATCAGAGTTTCCGTTTGAGTCCTGGCTGCTCCTCTTCCAATCCAGCTTCCTGCTAATGCACTGAGAAGGCAGCAAAAGATGACCCAAATGCCTGGGTCCCTGCCATCCACATGGGACACCCGAATGGAGTTCTTGGCTCCTGGCATCAGCCTGGTCCAGTCCCGACCATTGTGACCATTTGGAGAATGAAACAGAAGATAAAAGACTGAAGATGTTTCTCTTTGATGCTTTCAAGTAAAGAAATAAATAACTATTTTATTTCTTTATTTGAAAGGCAGAGCTGTAGGGAGGTGGGGAGAGAGATCTTCCATCTGCTGGTTCACTCCCCAAATGGCCACAATGGCCAACCAGGTTGAAGCCAAGGAGCCAGGAGCTTTCCCTGGGTCTCCCATTGTGTGCAGGGGCCCAAGCACTTGGGCCATCTTCAGCAAGGAGCTAAATCAGAAGTGGAGCAGCCAGGACTGGAACCAGAGCCCAAATGGGATGCTGGCAGTGCAGGCGGCAGCTTTACCCGTTGCGCCACAGCACCGGCCCCTCTATTGATTTTTATTTTTGATTTTTAAAGCTCTATTTAAAATTTTTTTAAATTATTTTATTTATTTATTTGAAAGGCAGAGTTACAGAGAGGCAGAGGCAAAGAGGTCTTCCATCCACAGGTTAACTCCTCAAATGGCTGCAACAGCCGAGCTGAGCTGATCTGAAGCCAGGAGCTTCTTCCAGGTCTCCCACATGGGTGCAGGGGCACAAGCACTTGGGCCATTTTCTTTTCTTTTCTTTTTTTTTTTTTAAAGATTTATTTATTTATTTGAAAGTCAGAGTTACACAGAGAGAGAAGGAGAGGCAGAGAAAGGTCTTCATCCGCTGGTTCACACCCCAGTTGGCCACAATGGCTGGAGCTGGGCTGATCTGAAACCAGGAGCCAGGAGCCGCGCGGGTACAGTGGCCTGAGGACTTGGGCCATCTTCCACTACTTTCCCAGGCCATAGCAGAGAGCTGGATGGGAAGTAGAGCAGCCAGGACTAGAACCGGCACCCATATGAAATGATGGCACTGCAGGCGGTGCCTTTACCCACTACACCACAGTGCAGGGCCCCAGCTGACTGATTTTTAAGTTGATCATTTTCTATGGCTGACGAATGATATTATAAAAATCCAAGTGGTCCCTGACAGAAAAAAAGTTCCCCACCCCTGCAAGTATGCAACTTTTAGTTGATTCACAAACTATCATTGCCGGCCTACTTCCAGACATTTCCATCATGCTCAGGAGGCACCTGCACCATTAGATACCCACTAACAGTCACTCCCATAGCCCCTTCATCCAACACCTGGCACCACTTATCCAGTCTCTGTCTGCACAGCTTTGCCAATTGGAGACATTTCACATAAATAGAATCATACGTGTAGCCGATCATTTATCTCTCTTTCTTTTCTTCAATCCATTTTTTTTTATTACTTTTTATTTTTTTTTTTTTTGCAAGAAGGAAAGTAAGTTTATTTGTGAAAAGCAGCAAAAGCTCCCTGGGTGTGGGGCATGCCGGGGGAAGGGCTGCAGAGCTGGGAATCCCATGTCTCCATGGGGCTGGTCTCCTTTATGTTTCTTTTTTCTCTCTCCTCTGTTATCTGTGATGTTTATTTTTCTCTTTCACTTAGCATCCAGTTGTAGCATGTATCAGTAGTTCATTCTCTTTTTTTTAAAGATTTATTTTATTTATTTGAAAGATAGAGTTATAGAGAGAGGTAGAGCCAGAGAGAGAGAGGTCTTCCATCTGCAGGTTCACTCCCCACAATACCACAACAGCCAGAGCTGTGCTGATCAGAAGCCAGGAGCCAGGAGCTTCTTCCGGGTCTCCCATGTGGGTGCAGGAGCCCAAGGACTTGGGCCATCTTCTACTGCTTTTCCAGGCCATAGCAGAGAGCTGGATCAGAAGAGGAGCAGCCGGGAACTTGAACTGGCGACCATATGGGATGCCGGTGCTGCAGGCCAGGGCTTTAACCTGTTGCAGCACAGCGCCAGCCCCCATTCTTTTTTTTTTTTTTTTTTTGTGGCCAAATAATATTCCATCGTGTGACTAGACTGTTTTATTCATTCATCCATCAGGTGAGGGTCATCTGGATTGCTTCTACTTTTTGGCTATTGTGAATAATATTGCTATGAACATTTTTGCGTGGACTTATGGTTTAAGAGATGCCACACAGGTTATTATAGGAATAATAGCAACTGGCTCTTAACTGTGCTGGGCCTGGCTCTGGCTTCCGAGGACCTCCCCCTGGCTTGGTTTTTGCTCTGCTCCTTGGGGTGAGCAGAAAGAAGGGGAGGAAATCCCACTGGAACCACAGCAGGGAGGCTACACGGGGTGAGCCTGCCCTACCAACAGAACCCGGTGGGCTGCCTCTGAGGCCCCAGCTCCCATCAGTCCCTCCAAAGCCCCATCACCCACGTGGACCGAGGCCCAGTCATCCGGCATTCATTCCCACGAAGCCGCTCCTATAATGCAAACATGCCACTGAAGTCTCAGAATGTGTGGTTTAGGAAGGGTTAAATGCTCGGTTTAGTGTAAACTTGGGATGCCCTTAGGGAGGTCACAGAGGGACCCTGTAGTAAAGTCCCTCCACTTTATAAGAGCTGGTCCTGGAGGTGAAAAACCCATCAATGATGGCTACACAAAACGCAGAGTCAACATCCATTTAACGTGGTCTCCTGGGTGGCCATATCATTTCTGTATCTTAAGTTTCAGGAACACATATATTACAAGCCAAGCATGTGTGTAAATAGATGATAGTAATTCATTTTTGCCAATGTACAAACAACTAGTCATTTGTTATGTGCTGGGTTAATACCAGGAATTTCAAAAAGTTCATGGAAAATGTGTATTATGAAAAAACTCTACGTTCAAAATTTTTTGACATCAAAATAAGCTTATTTAATTCCATTTTTACATGAACTTTTTGTAGCACCTTCCTATGCTAGGTGACAGAGAAAATCTATCTATGTCAACTTCTTAGGAGCTACCTGACCCTGTTAGGGTTTCTTTCTTTTCTTTTCAATTTTTATTTACTTATTTGAGAGGCAGGGTTACAGACAATGAGAGCAAGAGACAGAGAGAGGTTTTCCTTTCATTGGTTCACTCCCCAAATGGCCGCAATGGCTAGAGCTGCGCCAATCTGAAGCCAGGAGCTTCTTCCTGGTCTCCCACAGGGGTACAGGGCCCAAGCATTTGGGCCATCTTCCACTGCTTTCCTATGCCACAGCAGAGAGCTGGATCGGAAGTGGAGCAGCTGGGACTAGAACCAGCACCCATATGGGATGCCGGCACCACAGGCAGAGGATTAACCTACTGTGCCACAGCGCCGCGTCCTCCACCCCCACCCCTCCGTTACGGTTTCTAACTGGGCACTGTGCTCACTTATGGTCACAGGGATTCCCAAGTACATGGCTTCTGCGTCACACTGGCATTTCGAGCAGAGCACCGACCCTCCGCTGGCTTGAGTGAAGACTTGGGACGCACAACCAGGCAAAGTGCTTTGCCTCTCCCTATGTTTTGCAGAGATATACAGTGGCACCAAAGGGGAGCAACACACTGCTTGCTTTAGTCTGAGCTGTTGCCTGAGACATGGTGGCTGCCTCACCATTCAGACTGATGATTGTTCCAGGAAACCAATACAAGGCACTTGCAAAGCAACAACCCCTGTCACAACGCAGAGCCCTCTAGTATCTCCTCTGTCAAGTGGGACGATGAAAGAAGCAGTTAGTACACAGCACAGCTGGAGAAGAGTGGATATTTACTACTTGCCTGGCTGAGAAGAAAGCATAAAGCAATGAACCAACACACACAATTCGTATTTTTTAATAGCTATGTTTCTTTATAAAGATTTATTTATCTATTTGCTTGAAAGGCAGAATGACACAGAGAGTCAGGGAGAGAGATAAAAGAGGGATCTTTCCCCTCTTTTGCTGGTTCACTCTCCAAATTTCTGCAACAGCCAGGGCTGGGCCAGGCTGCAGCCAGGAGCCAGGAACTCCATCAGGGTCTCCAACATGTGGGGCAGGAACCCGAGTACGTGGGTCATCATCTATTGCCTCCAAGAAACATTCACAAGTTGGATTGGATGCGGAGTAGCTGGACTCAAAATAGCACTCTATTATGGGATGTGAGCATCCCGAGTTGGTGGCTTAATCAGCTGTGCCACAACATTGACCCAAATAGCTATGGCTTTTGAAGGTTTATAGTAACACCAGCTGGGCATTTTTTAAAAAAGTTCAAGAGGAGAGAGAGACAGACTGATAGATGTTCCATGTTCTGGTTCACTCCCTAAATGCCTGCAACGTCTGGCACAGGGCCAGGCCCAAATCAGGATCCAGGATCTCCGTCTGGGTCTTCCACCTGGTGGCAGGGGCCCAGATTCGTGCACCATCGCCTGCTGCTTCCTGGAATGTGTATTAGCAGGAAGCTGGACCAAAAGCAGAGCCAGCACTCCAGCCCAGGGGCTCTGGTTTGGGATGCGGACACCCCAAGCAGTGTTTTAATCATTGTGCCAAACGCCTGCCCCATCACCTGGGTATCTCTGCGTTGCTTTTATGCTTCACATACAGTTTCAAGAATTGAACGCAGTTAACTTTGGCTATTTCATCTAAGGAAACGTGGAAAGCGGTCAGGCTTTGAAGGTCAGACACTTCCAGGTAGTAATGGAAAACCTGTAGCTTAACCAGTGCATCACCTTCGCCAAGATCAATCATTGGTGGCTCCTTCTGCTCATCTTACAGCAGCCAAGTGACATAGCTCAGTGCCAGTGCGTAGTACACAGGAACAGCATCCAAGTGACGTAGCTCCGTGCTGGTGTGTAGTGCACAGTAACTGGCGGTTATTCTTATGTCTTGTGTTTCTGACTAGACTGCAGACTCTTCGAGGGCAGAGACTACGTTTTCCCTTTCTTTCCAGAGTCCACAAAAACCTTCCAGAGAGTGCTAGGGCCCAGCAGCCACCCAGAGGAGGCTACGCATAAAACATGAGTGTAAGAGAACAAACTTGACAGATGACTGAGACCACAAACAGATTCTAGCCCGTGGCGCGTGTCCTAAAAGCAAAAGGCCTGCACAGAGGAGCTGAAGAAGGGCTGTGTCGTCACAGCGGCCACACGCCAACACCGAGCTTTGCCAAGACCTGGGGTCAGCATCCTGCACGCTCAGGTGTGTGTCCGCGGCTTCCGGCAGCGCTCAGCGCTCTCCTCTTCTCGGTGGGGCTGAGAGAGGTCGTTCCCTAGAACACCCTTTTGAGTCAATTCCACTAAAAGTCCTGGACTTGGTAGGAAAGAACAATAGGAAGTTCCCCCTCTTGGCCCCAGATGACATGAGAATGGAGTCTCCTCTCGTTGAGACACGAACATCTCACCATCACTAACCTAGGTGATGCCTTAGAAAGGGTAGAGCACTGTGAGCTTTCTTTTCGAGGACGAGAAGGGGCCATGTGTGATTCTCTGGAGCTGATTTGAGTTGTAAAGGGCTCCCAGAGGAGCCCCCTGCTGGCCCCCTGTGGGAACTGTAGATTTCAGTTACACCTGCCGGTCCATTGCATTAAAGCTGAGGGAAAACACTTCCTTCCTGGCAAAATGGGTGACGAGTTTTAGAATAAAAAATTCTGTGGGTAAAGCCGCTGCCTGCAGTGCCGGCAGCCCATATGGGCGCTGGTTTGAGTCCTGGCTGCTCCACTTCTGATCCAGCTCTCTGCTGTGGCTTGGGAAAACAGTACCAGATGGCCCAAGTCCTTGGGCCCCTGCAGCCACGTGGGAGACCCGGAAGACGCTCCTGGCTCCTGGCTTCGGATTGGCCCAGCTCCGAAAACTGCAGCCAGTTGGGGAGTGAACCAGTGGTTGGAAGACCCCTCCCTCCCCCACTTCTGCCTCTCTGTAACTCTGCCTTTCAAATAAAATAAATAAATCTTTAAAAAAATACTGTAGCACATTCACCCAACAGTTCGATGGCCTGATCCAAACTACTCACCAAACATGTCTGTGTGCACACAGACACACATATGTCCACCTTGGCATTAATCAGCATTGGAAGCTACACAAATGCCCACCAACATGGACTAAGAAATGATGAGAAATCCCCAAGCTGCTGTGCCTTACTTCATACACGTAATAGAACAGATCAATAGGTTAGGTATGGATGGAAAATAACCACATTTGGAAAAATCAGCTGTGAAACAGAAAGATAATGATACACGTTAGCACATATATGGAAAAAATCTGAAGGAACAGACACTAAGTTGCTAACTGTTCTCTGGGGGCTGAACTTCCTGGGCACTTGATTATATATGGTGGATTTCTGTAGCTTTAAGTGTTTTTACATTCACACTAAGCAGAAGACAACTATTTTATCAAAGATGGATGCTAAGATGCTAACAGCAAGCGATAGAAAATGAAGTAAGCTTCTGACGGATGACCACGACGGAGCGTCTTACCTTTTCCCTGAAATTCTCATTCTTGGAAGCAGCTGCCAAGTACAGCGTCACAGCCTCGCTTACTTCGCTATCGCCCCCGGTTAGCAGCACAGCCAAGGTCCCCAGGACTTCCTGCTGGGCGGGGAGGTGGCCCGGAGCCGAGTCACTCACAGTCTGCAGCAGCTTCTCTCCTCGCAGCGACTGCAGAGCCTGAACCACAGAGACTGCGGGGCACCGAGAAGAGAGACCACAGTGACATTCTCAGAACAAGCAACCAAAGACCAGCGAGACCCCAGCGTCTAGGAAAGTAGAGTAACACACCCCATGTATCTGGAGAACTGGTCTGTGATAAAGTGCATCTGACAGACTGGCACACTAGCATTTCAAATTAGGAAAAGGACCAGTGATTTCAGCAATGATATGAAGGCAAATCACATAGGGAAAAAAAGAAACTGGATCTCTGATCCCCAAGGGATATAGAAACCTGGAGATGAGCGGCACAGTCAAATGTACAAATATACAGGGAAGAAAGCATAAGTAAAAAATTTTTACAATCTCACATCTATATATACACATCCAGCGTAGTCTCCCCTCTGTCTTTCAGTCATACCCATGCTGCAAAACTCTAATTCTGGGTGATCCAGGTCTACACTTAAGTAACCAGGCACTAGTGGAGAAACTCACTTAATTGGTTGGAATATCAAGATCATTTTATCTAAACATCGTGGTTTTGAAGTCCCACTTGGACTAACTGACCATGACCTACAACTAAGGAATACATTTGAATCTTTAATGAGATTCCAGCCTGCATATCCTTTAGTCACAACAATGAGATGAGAGTGTGCCTGGTCAGTACAGATGGGAAAATAGAAGCTAAGATTCATGTTCTGTCAATAAAACAACATCTTTGACAGTTGCGCACATTTTAAAAATTATCTAGTTTTTCTTTGTTTCAATTTGCTATTTTCCCCTCTATGGATGTGCTATTGATTTCACTACTTTATTTATTTATTTGTAAATAAATACCCTAAGTAACATTCCTCAAGAAAGTATCTTGTATAATTAACAAACTCAGAACACAATAGAATCAAACACATTAGTATATATTAAATGGCAGGGATACTATAAAATCAATAAAAGTGCTTTCAAAAATATGTAACAGGGGCTGGTGCTGAGGCATAGTGGACTAAGCCTCTGTGTACAGTGCCAGCATCCTATATGGCCCCAGTTCTAGTCCCAGCTGTTCCTCTTCCCATCTAGCTCTCTGCTATGGCCTGGGAAAGCAGTAGAACATGGTCCAAGTGCTTGGGCCCCTGCACCCACATGGGAAAACTTGAAGAAGTTCCTGGCTCTTGGCTTCAGATCAGCTCAGCACCAGCCATTGCAGCCATTTGGGGAGTGAACTAGCAGAGAGAAGACCTCTCTGCCTCTGCCTCTCTGTAACTCCACCTCTCAAATAAATAAAATCTTTTAAAAATGTAATAAAATAGACCAGAATGTCAAATAAGAAATATAAGGAATAGTCATAATTTTGAGATCTGAATCCTATGCATATTCAACTGAAAATAAATTTTAAAAGTTGGAAAAGGAAGAATTTGAACTTTTCCCTTTATTCATCACTATTTTCTAAATTTTCTGTAATGAAGGCCTTTCTGTTTTATAGTGAAAGAAAAAAAATTCTTAGGATTGATTTTTTTTAAAAGCCAATTAGGGTTTTTGTTTTAAGACTTACTCATGTATTTGAAAGGCAGAGTTAGAGAGAGGGGCTGGGGGAGAGACGGGGAGAGGGAGAGGGAGAGGAAGAGGGGGAGGGGGAGAGGGAGGAGGAGGGGGAGGGGAGGGGGAGGGGGAGGGGGAGGGGGAGAGACAGAGAGATATCTTCCATTTGCTGGTTCACTCCCCACAGAGCACGTCTCATTGCCCCATCACTGTAACCACACACTCAAGGCGCTGTGGACTTAGAGGGCCCAGGCCTGGGAGCCAGAAGTCCCTCACTCCTGGCGCCCGTTCCAAAGAGGTCTTTGCTCCACACAGATATTACTGCAAATTTCGGATGTGAGGGCCAAAGGACACGGCTATCAGGAGTTTCCCTGCCACGTCACACTGGCGCCTGCTCTCCACTTCCCTGGACTCGCAGCCCTGCACCTGCTTCTCCACCTTTCCTCCCCTTCCGTTCCCACCGTGCCCACGCCGCCTGCCTTCCCAAATCCCCATCCCTGCCTAACAGTAACAGTAACTCCAACAAGGCCAGCAGAAAGTCCTGCTGCCTCTAAGCTTGGTCCTACAAATGGCGAAGACGGCAAGGAAAGACAGAAATGACAGTGAATGGGATCATGTTCCAGCGGCCACAGATAGCACAGCGCCGCTGAGTGGTGGAGACGCTCTTAGTAAGCGCCTGCTTCTCCAACAGGCGACTCCCAGCTCAGCAGCGGACTTGAGAACACGAGGCTCCCACCACCCAAAGCCCTGATGCAAAAGAGCAGAGAGAACTCCAAACTGAGCTGGGAAAGAAGGTGTCTCACCTTGCCTGGCCAGCTGGCTTAGGTGGCTCTCCAGGTCACTCACGCCGTGGCTGGAGAAGTAACTGTAGAACTGGAACACGGTGACCACTTCGGAGGAGAGACTGGTGGCAAGCAGAGGCTCAGCCCGGTCCAGAATTTGGGACACGAGTGTTCGGAACACTACGTGGAAGGGAAACACACAAAGCAACCTAAGAAACGTGACAGCTGTTCATTTGATACTTTCTTTAGTCTTGTAGTGTTGTGCGGATGACACAGCGTGCAGTGTATAAAAGCAAGCTTCCGTGGACAGCCGGGTGACTTCTGCACAGTCACACACCTAGGTCACGGCCATGTAAGTATGGAAGCCTACCAGTGTAAGGTTTTCCTACACCCCTCCCCACCCTATAGCTCTCCTCCCGCCCCCTCCCACAGGGACTTAATCATCTATTTGGCTTCTATCAACATCCAGTAAAGGCTTTGCTTGTTCTCAACTTCACATAACTGGGACTGTATAATACGTACATTTTGCATCTGGTTCCTTTTATTCAACAAAGTATCTGTGCGATTCATCCAAACGGTTGCTTTTAGCAGCAGTGTATTTTTGAATATATCATCATTCATCCACTTATTTACCTTCATATATTTAAAATAAAATTGTTGGTTCATAGGGTAGGGGTATACTGAGCTTATGTGGAAATCGCCAGTTTTTCCAAAGTGATTGTACTATCAACCCTCCTCTGTTGGTGACATTTTAGGGAAAGAAGTAAACCCACAGTTGGCACTCCGTATCTCTGGTCCACAGATCGTATCTCTGTATCTCTGGCTCCACGGATCGTGGCTCAACAATATTTGATAAACAGTTGTGCATGTACTGAACATGGGGCAGGCTTTTTTTCATGTCTTTATTGCCCCAGACAAGGGGAACCTTTTTTCTGCCAAGGGCCATTTGAATATTTACAACATCATTCGTGGGCCATACAAAATGACCAACTTAAAAATCAGCCTGCTACGGTGTTGATTGAATTTCAGGTCCCGCCTTTGGTTGCCTTGGCGGGGCCACACCCAGTGATTTCCTGGGTTTTATCTGGCCTTCAAGCTAGAGGTTTCCTCCCCCTGTGCCTAAGCAATACAGTGTAACTACTATTACAAGTGATCTAGAGATGATTGACAGTAGACGGGTGGGTACATGTAGGCTCTGTGCACATTCTACACTGTTATAGATAAGGGCCTTGGGCATTGGCAGATTTTGTCCTGTGGACACCAGGAGGTAACTCCACATCCTTAAACAGCTGTACTGATACATGGTGCTTTTAAAAAGTCTCCGCTGATACCATGGCTTAAAACCTGGCCAACCTCTTTCTTCTCTTACATCTAAGTGAGCTGGCCTCTGGGTGCCCTGCCCCAGCTACAGGCGGGCAGTGAGCACTGTTGTCCCTACCTGGGCCTGCCAGTCCCGGGCACTCTCTGTCGACGGTCCTGGCGAAGCTGGCCTCCAGCTGCTTCACGATCCTGTCAGCCGAGCTGTGGTACACGCCAGCCGGGCCACAGCACTTGGTCCAGAATGACAGCAGAGACAGCTTTTTGTGAAATTCTGGAATGGCTGGAAAAGAGAAGCAGCCCCCGGCCCAGGGCAGGTGTTAGAAACACAGTAGAGGAATTGAGCATTGGGGTGGCGGGGGAGGGGGACCAGGGGCCAAAGAGCAAGGAAGTTACGGCCAGGAACTGGTCCTCTGTGCAGCCTCAGAGGCCCACGCTCTCCTGAAGGGAGTGGAACGTGGCCAGGGTGGTTGGCTGAGCCTTCTCCCCTCTGCCTAGGGCTTTGCACAGTGCAATGAGGAGACAGCATTATGCCAGGTGGCACATGGTCCACAGTCCACTTGTGCATGGCCGTGACCATGAGGGGGCCAGGAGGGGAGGGGGCGTGACTCCCAAGGCCCTGCCAAGGTCACTCGTGCCTTCTCGGAGCGGGTACTCGGGAGCCCGAGGCTTACTCAGAGACGATGCGGAAGGCTGCATTTCCACTGAACATCTGATGTAAGAAAGCCCAGACCACACAAAGGCACCGTCCCCATGCCCATTCTGCCGCTGCTCTTCCCAGAACTGGGGTCTCTCCCTCCTGGGGGCCTTCGCCTCTGCTCATTTCTACCTTTCCCCAGCTGCTCCCGTTTGACAGCAGCTGGCGTGGCGGAACAGCCCTGATCATCCGACCCTAAAGCGAAATGCACCTGCTTCTGCAGGTGTGGCACTCCGCCTGGGAACTGGCAGCTGCCCCTGTTTAGAACAGCGCCTGCCTCCCTCTGCCCGTGGAGACCCCACAGGAACAGTCACGGGTCTTCTGGTTTGACTCAGAAGGCCAACCAATATGGGGACGTCTCACACGTCCTAAGAACTCTTTTCTGTCTTCCTTCCAAAGCAACAAGCAGGTGCAGGTGGCGGCGTGGACGGCAGGGTCACCCTTGACGCAGGGGGCGGGGCGGGGCGGGGCGGGGCGGGGCGGGGGGCAGGCAGACTCTCACCTTCGACGACGGAACTGATGTTCCCTATGTTCTCATCACTGACGGCGGCCAGTTTCTCCACCACTTGGACCTGCCTTGAAAGTTTCTCTAAGAGATTTCTTGCCACAAATGGGGTTTTGCTTGAGAAGACAATTTGCTGATAAAACAAACAAAACCACAGTGTCAATCATGCGATTCCTGGGCCGGCACTGCGGTGTAGCGGGTGAAGCTGCCGCCTGCACTGCCGGCATCCTATATGGGCACCAGTTCGAGACCCGGCTGCTCCTCTTCCGATCCAGCTCTCTGTTATAGCCTGGGAAAGCACTAGAACATGGCCCAAGTGCTTGGGCCCCTGCACCTGCGGGGGAGACCCAGAAGAAGCCTCTGGCTCCTGGCTTCAGATTGGCTCCGCTCTGGACATTGAGGCTATCTGGGGAGTGAACCAGTGGATGGAAGACCTCTCTCTCTCTCTGTCTCTCTCTGCCTCTCTGTAACTCTGCCTTTCAAAATAAATATTTTTTAAAAAGTTAATAATCACGTTAAAAAGTTAACAATCACACTGATGTGAATAGAGCCTTCCCCGCCCAGCCTCACGCTCCCTGCATGTGGTGCTGAGCCACAGGGCAGCTCAACATTGCCAATTCAACATTGCTCTCATTCCCTGCCAATTACAGCATCTGATGTGGTTTCTTTCATTGCTATCAACCTTTTTCATGCCTAAATAAGTTCTAGAATTTTCTCAGCTGTAGACCTGCGTGGCTATTATAAAGCTGTCTTTCCTTGTATGTACAGTAAATCTGATCTCCAAAACTCAGAGAGCCTTTTGAGGCTAAGTCTTGGTGTGTAAGCAGAAGACTTGCTTTGCAACTGTAGTGATTTTTTTTTTACATGGCTTTATTTCCTTGTTTTCAAGCTGAAAAAATCAGAAGCAGATTGTACAGTTCTCTTCACTATCATTAGAGCTACTTCGTAGTTAGCAGGTGCTTACCCTGTGCTGCTAGTCTGAACCCTATATTTGCATTATTCATGTTATTTCTCACAACAACCCAATGAGGTGGATCCTACCCATATCCCCTTTTTCACAGTCGAGGGAGATGAGGCCCAGAGAGGCTCGGTGTCTACCCACGGCCATGTAAGCACTGAGTGGTCTCACTGTGTGTGTAGAGAGGCAGGAGACAGGAGAGGAAGGAAAGTCACTTGCTCTCTGTGTCTCTTAGGGACCAGATCTGGTCACCTGTTCGTGCGGACGAAGGAGGCTATAATGGCCAACTAAGCACACGGACTTGAAAATAAACAGGATTTTCAAAATCAGAAGCAGAGTGCAGCATATACATGCCAATGTCTTTCATGTAAGTACACACAATAGAAATGTATTTTTTTTTAAGATTTTACTTATTTGAAAAGTAGAATTAGTGAGAGAAAGAGAGAATCTTCCATCTTCTAGTCCATCCCCAAAATGGCCATAACAGCCAGGCTGAACACAGGAGCCAGGAGCTCCAGCTGGGTCTCCCACGTGGGTACAGGGGCCCAGCAGTTTCATCCTCTGCTGCTTTCTCAGGTGCATTAGCAGGGAGCTGGATTGGAAGTGGAGCAGCCAGGACTCGAACCAGCGGTCATATGGGAAGCCGGCATTGCAGGCAACAGCTTAACCCATTTTGCCACAGTGCTGGCCCTAGAAATGAATTCTTTATTTCAACAATAATTGTAGCTTTTATGATTCCTACAGGATGACAATTTTTATCTCTCAGCAATTATATAGCAAATCAGTAAGTAAACTCACGTATTCAAGGAGTGCAAATGAGAAACGAAGCTTCTAACCGTCACTCCTCTAGCCTGTGTCTGTTTTGCTAGCCTTGACCTCCCCCACAGAAGGGCTGAGATGTTACAGGCACAGCCTCAGCGTAGGGAGAAGCGTGGCATTGATGCATGCCAACTCATCCCTTATGGAAGAGAATTCTGTTCGGTCTCATAAAGAAGGAACTACTTCCTTCCTCACTCTAGTAGGCAAGCAGGTGTTTTGCTTAGCACAGTGAGCTGTGACAACCGTCTCACTTCAAATGATCAGTAAAGACAGACTAACTGGAGGCAGACAAAAATCTTGTCCACTTTCATCAGAAAGAATTGCAACCTTTTGCCAGACTGGTTGTAAGCATCATGGTTATAATCTCAACAGACAACAGGAGAGTTCAAGTGGGGTGCTGACCAGCCACGTGGCAAGAACTACAGCTGCCAGCTGGGTTCTCCCAGCACCTCAACTGCCTGAGACCTCGAAGATCTGTGTATGCGGCGGTGAAGCTCATTGTCCCACATCTCATCTGCAGGAAGCATAGGGAGAAGACAAAGCACCAGGCAAGGAGGACTTCCAGGGAGATGCTTGGTAGGGGCAGAGCATGTGGGCGCCAGTTCGAGTCCCAGCTACTCCAATTCTGATCCAGCTCTCTGCTATGGCCTGGGAAAGCAGTAGTAGATGGCCCAAGGCCTTGGGCCCCTGCACCCATGTGGGAGATCTGGAGGAAGCTCCTGGCTCTGGGCTTCGGATTGGCGCAGCTCTGGCCACTGCGGCCATCTGGGGAGTGAACCAGTAGATGGAAGACCTCTCTCTTTCTCTGCCTCTGCCTCTCTGTAACTCTTTCAAATAAATAAATAAATCTTTTCTTTAAAAAAAAAAAAAAAGAGAGAGAGAGAGACTAGTTATGACACCCACATCCTACACGGGAGTGACTGGGTTTAATTTCCAGCTCTGGCTTCTGACTCGCGCTGTCTACCAATGAAGACCTGGGGGACAGTGGCGACTAACTGGGTTCCTTCCATCCATGTGGGAGACCTGGATTGCCAGCTCCCAGTCGTGACTGGGTGGTTGTGGCATTTGGGGAGTGAATAGGAAGAGGGGAGCTCTTTCTCTCTTGCTCACTCGAATAAATAAAAACAAAATAATAAAAAGCAAAACTGTTCTCTTACTCCTCCTCATTTCCTTGGCAAAGCTAACAAATGGAAGCCCCCTTTGCTGGTCAAAATCAGCCAGTCCCACCTGCACGAGCTGGGTGCAGTACTGCAGGTGTCTGACGATGGTGATGTCCAGGCTTTCATTCCCCGTGGTCAGGGGGAGAGGGCTTCCTGCCACACTCGTCCCAACTCCGGTGTCTTCGGTCAGCGCTTCGCTAAGGTGCCCACGAGCTTCTGGATGAACTGACCTGTAACTGGTAAGACAGGAAGACGGCCAAGACGTTAGCTATTTCTTCGTACAAACCACAGGTTAACTCAGGATGTGTCCTGTCCAGACCCCGATAGCACCTGCTGAATATAGTCTCTCCCTTACCTATCTTAAAAAATAGAGTTAAAAAAAAAAAAAAAAAAGGATTGAATTCAACCTGGCCACTAATTTGCTTAGTGTTCAAAGGCCACACAAACAAATTGCTTTCAGAGGTCTCCCTTTGCTTCTCAAGCGTAAGGAACCATTTATGAAGTTCATCAAGAAGCCTTCAAAAAGCGCCCTCATTCTCTGCTTGCTGCACCTTCCTGCTCCCCGGACAGGGTCGGTTGCCAGATTTTTCTGGGACTCGGCTGTCCTCTATTTGCGGTTTCCCACGAGCAATGCCATTAAGAAACAATCTGTCAAGGCTTTTTCCTGGTCTCAGATCAATTGCTACTTGAAGAAAAAGGGAAAAAGGAAAGTTGCCAAGGTGTTCTGCTCCAGACAGAAGCTGGAAGTGGTGTCGAGTATTTAGAGCACTGCCCAGTTCTGCCTCTCGTGCGTTGTTTAAATCCCACCGTTGAGCTCCCCAAAGACATAGCATGATGGGCACTTACCTATATAAGGGATCCACTGCATTCATTTACCATCTACTTTGATTCTGAACCTGAATCTGTGTGCTAGGGAGGGAGGGAACAGCATCTCACCCCACACATGGAAGGAGTGCCCAGCAGGGATGTTAATGAGAGTGGCCTGGCACCTTTGCTTGCTAGCCTTCTGCTCCCCACTGTCCCTAATTTAACAAGATCAGGCACTGAAGCTCAGAGGCTGTGGATGCCTCGCTCCGATTCATGGTTGGCTCCATGGGGTCAATGTACCTTGGTGGTCAACATGTAGCAGCTGATACATTACACACATAAACACACGCATGCACGCGTGCACACACACACACACACTTTTTCCTAATGCCTTTGATGACATGCAGGGAGTACTTCAAAATGATCATGGGAAAACAGAATTAAAAGATAACTCGTGCATAATTTTTTTTTCGTAACATCCATGTTCCTCGAACTTTTTGAAGAACTCTTGTATGCATAGGTTTCAATTATTTTGCCCCCAAATGGACTCATTTTTCGGTTCTGGTTTTCCATGAACTTTGTTAAAATCCCTCATGCAGGAAGAGTGGTTGAATTAGACACACTTTACATCAGAACTCTGTAAAATGTATAACAGCTACATTGGTCTCATTGTTTAAATGCTTCTTATAACAGGAAGAAAAAATTTAGATGGATGTCTGACCTTGAAGTATTATGGAAGTGTAAGCTAACAAATATATATATAAAAAACTTTGTTAAGAAGCACCTCACAGGTTCAGCTAAGCTAGAAAAACCTCAAAGTAGAATGCAGAAGCATCACTTAAACATGACACTTCATACATTTATCATATTAGTGCACAGGACAAATGCAAATTCTCACATGTTCTTCCTGGTTATATTTGGAAAAAGAAACCCTGAATGTAACTCTGAAGTCTGTTTATGTCATGGTGTGTCGAAGGCACAGATGGGTGGGAAACCCATCAACCTCTTTTGGGAAAGTATCGGTCTGTTCTTTTGCTGCAATTGCTGGAGGTGAGTATGTCCCATGCTTCTTTTGCTTCACTGGAAGTTACAAAACCAGGCTCTGGCTCTAAAAATGTCCTTTGGCTATGCAAGAAGCCTAAAGCAGAAGGTGGTAATATTTCCCTTCCATCCTCTTGACTCAAGAACAGACACAGACAGACAACGGTGTAGGGAAAGCAAGCCCAGCCAAACGAAAGCACGAGAAATAAGACAAAAACCAGGGAGAACCAGGTCCAAATCTACCGTGCTGTGAGAGTTCTCCAGAAGTGTAGTAAGCCTAGTTAATTCAGAATGAATTATTTAGGGTCAAGCTTTAGACACTGACCCCTGCAAGATGTACGTGTGTACAAGCACAAAATGTTCCCCTGTGTTTGTAAGAAAAGTGGTTTCTCTTTAGCAATCCCAAAGAGGGAAGTATTGCCAAGTTGTACTTGGCAATAAAAAGTGAGCCAACTGGTCACCCCTGTAGGGCATTTTTCTCTTTCCGGAGATGTGCACCAGGTCCCCTCTGTCTGCAACCACAATGAGCCAGCATTGGGGGGAAGCGGTACAAGCAGACACTGACTTCCGACTTACCTATTTTTCTCAGTCTCAGTATCAGAAAATACTGAGTCTGCACCTCCTCCAATGTTACAAACCTCATCACCATCCTCCTCCTCATCAAAATCAGAGGTGTTCAGGAAATCAAAGCTCTCCAAAGCACTTTCAACTGTGAGGCTGAAACTGGAAGACCTGCTGTGGCTTCCTGCGGGCTTGCACTGCAGAGGCACAAGGCACCAAGGAGAACATCATCATACCCGACAGACAGCACCCAGGGCAGTCAGAGAGAGATGCCACACTTTCTTGGTTTTTTTCTTTTTTTCTCCAAGCCTTTATTTTTCATTGGGAATTTAAAAATGCATTTAAAATCTTTATGTTCAAAAAAGAAGAGTACAACCGTAGATTAAATTGGCACAATATCTGGGATTTATTCCAAAATAATCCAGGGGGAAGACAACTAGTAGAACAGACGAAACAAGATTGTTCTCAAGTTGATCACTGGGGATGCTGGGAAATGGGCACATCTACTTGGATCTGAAATTTTTAAAATAAAATGTTTTAAAAAATAAGGTAACAGAACTGCTAGATTCCTGCCCCCTAATGTTCATCCCCAAATAAAAAACAACCAGTAGACAAGTTCGAAGAGTCCTTGGGCCAGTGCTGACCACCAACCCACCTCTCATTCCAAGTGGCTAGGTCTTCAGTGTCCCAAGACGGACAGGAGCGAGCTCTCTAAGGAATCTGCTCTCCAGAATGAGCAAAACCAATCCCAGACTCGGGGCACTGCTTGTCTTCACCAAGCCCAAGCTCCCGTGGGAAGAAGTTCCACCTCCTAAGGTTCCACCCACAGCCTATCGTCTTCCCCTGGAGTATTGAGAACACAATCGGCAGGGGCTGATGAGAAGTAGCCTTGCTTCCTCTGTAGCTCTGCTTTGAAAGGATCAAACCTCCCCACCGCCCTTACCAGGCCCTGGAATTAGGGGAACAAGACCGTTCTGTGGCCTGCAGAATTGTGTCTTGCTGCACTTAAGCAGAAGCATCGCCAGCAGGATACTGCCTGTTGCTAGGGGCAGGAGAGGGATGGAACTTTTTCTGAAAATTCAAGGTGGCACTGGGATGGGCTGAAGCCCTGCGTGCACTAAATGTCCTCTGCACAGTTAGGTGCGTTCCTTGCTGATTTCTTAGCACGAGGCAGGACGGGCTTTGTGGGGATCTGCCTCTGACACTCAGGAGGGCACAAAAGCTCATGGCTATTTTCTAGAACGGGACCCTGAAGAATTGCTTTTCCCAAGGAAAAGGATCTAGGCTCACTTCTATATGACCGTGCGACTCAACAGTGGCAAAACGAAGAATCTAAGAGGTGGCAGTGAGATTTGAGACAAAAACGAAAGCTCTGTCTTCTGGTGTTTTTAAAAACATTTAATCTGTATGCTGGGTGGAGACGCACATTCTGAGGTAGCAATAATGAGCTCATTAGGACCGCCTGCCCCCACCCCCAACGGCCCCTCCCACTCCTCCGGTGGATTGGGGAAGACGGCTCTGGTGGAGTTCGGGGTGTCCCAGGCCCTCGAGGGTGAAAGATGCTTGTCTGCTGGTGATTAATCTGAGACTCCGCCTCCCTGATGTGGGCCACGTCCAGGAGAAGGGAGCCCTCTAGTGGGCAGGGCTGAGCGGGTAAGGATGCTCGTGGCCTTCACACCGGGGCGGGCTGGCTCTGTCGCCCACCAGGGAGTCCTGACACACCCCAAAAGGGACCCTGTCTGGGAACTTCTGTACCAGCATTTCCCATGTGGGATTACAATGATTAAATCCAGGCCTGCAGAAGTGTAGGCATTTTTTTAAATAATTAGTACATAATTTAACCCCTAATCAATTTAAGTGGATTCCCTTGCTATCAGGAAAGTGAAAAATGAATATTCCCAGGGATGTTAAAAATCAACACTAGTGCAATGACTCTGCTGATCCCGTGATTGGCTGGGATTTTTCCAGAAAGATCCGCTGGCCTTGGACCTAGCCCACGTTCTCTGAAGAGGTACTTACTTTGAGAATATCATCCAAATGCATGACTTCTTGGTTCAGATCCTGAAATTCTTTGTACTGTTCTTTGTGTGGTTCCAGGGCCAGGAAAAGCCCATGGAAGGCATCCTCTAGACTTCCATCCAGAAAGGACCTGGAGCCCTCCGAGTCGCCCCCGACAGAGCCTTCGCAAGGCGGCCTCTCGGCGGCCAGGGGCACCTCCGCCGAGGTGAGCCTCCTCACCAGCTGCTTCGTGATGTTCCCTTCAAAGGCGTCCAGTTCCACGGGCTTGAGCTCAGAGGCCTCCTCGGACTCTCGCAGAAGTGCCTGGGCGACAGCATCCTGCAGGAACAGGGGCTCGGGCGCAGCCCCTGCCAGCTGCCCGGCAGCCTCGGGCGGCTCGGACACCTTCGTGTCTCCCCTCGGTCGGGGCCTGGGACCGCAGCCTTCTCCCGTGGAGTTCCTGGCAGAGGCTGAGCCGCTGCCATCCGGGTCCTCGCTCGGGGTCAGCTCTGCAGGGGTGATGGTGATTTCGGGATTCGCCCGGCCCGGGCTCGGGGGAGAGCCTGCTGGGCCGGGGGTGAGGGAGCAGTCCCCGCTGGGGAGGTCACTGAAGCTGAGAGACAGCGGCATTTTCTCTTCGGCTGCCTTCCCATCTTCGAAGATGTCATCGGGCAGATTCGACTGTGGACAAGAGGCACCTCAGGATTACTTTGAATGCAAAGGCTGCAGCTGCTATAGCTGATTTCCAGACAAAGCAGAAAGCAATTCAGAGAAAACCAAAATCAAAACCCAGAGCCTTTCCCATGAACATTTTATTTGTCGGTGTGTGTGTGTGCACATGCATCTGGCAAAAAGCAAGCAGCCATTAATCACTGGATGAAAGGTCACGACACTATTCTTAGGTTTCACATTTTCAGAACAACAGATTATGGGAGGGAGGGACTGGTGCCTGTTTCCTAAATCCTTGGATCCTACAGTATTGGCAGCCATGGTTATAACCCACGACCGAGTGGGAGTGTTTTTTTTACTTGGGGGAGTGAGGCTTCTGTCTTAGAAGCCTGTTCATTCATGCGATTTTGCTCCAAAGACATGATATTGTGTTTTACTTAATTTCTCAAAGTTTATCGCTTGAAACTCTCTCCCCACAAATGCTGAGCTCTTGAAAATGTTTTGTTAACTTAGCAACCATGCCTGCAATAGAACTTCTTTGGCAATAGAAGATTACTGAGCTGAACACCTGCCCTCCAGGGGGCGACCTCAGGGCTCTCGGGGTGGCCAGATGACACCTGGGCCGTGTCATCACACCCAGCTCTGAAGAGGCAGGCCGGGAATACCCCAGGAACCAAGACCACACGTTTATGTGGGCGTTACAACGTCTACGCAGCCTCCTGTGCCCTGCGGTCGGTGTCCGGCTGCGGAATGTTGTTTTGTGCAAGGTCTTCTAGCTATTTGAAATGAACCCTTTCAAAACGGTTCTGTTTTCTTGGCTTCCAGATTAGATTTTTAAAGTCTAGTCAGCCTCACACATTGGCAGGTTCCATGTCCGTGGATTCAATCAGCGGCAAATTGAAAATAATTTAAAAGGTTGTAGTATCCGTACTGAACATACACATTCTTCTTGTCATCATTCCCTACATAATATGGTACAGCAGCTATTTACATAGCTGATCCATTGCACTGAGTAGGATAATCATCTGGAGATGGGAGAAACACTGAATACATGAATTGGATTATCACACTATACCCCATAAATATGTCCAAAATTAAAATCACAGCTATTCAAGAAAAACCTAGCACATTTGTGCAAGCAACAAACAGGAGGCTGCACGTGGGTGATACGCCCATATCTTGCCCCACTGTATTTGCATAGTAAATACAGCATCCATAGATTTGGTGTCTGTCGGGGGTCCTGGAACAAATTTCCCCGTGGATACTGAGGGCCAAGTGTAAATGGTAAGAATCAAGCTAGCAAATCTTTTAATAACACACGAAATCACAAAGTCTCCCAAGTGTGCTAGTGTGTAAGCCCAGCAAGCAAAAAGGCTGCAGCAAGTGAAATGGGGGTGACAGAAAGACCAAGAGACCCTCTGTCCTCCTCTGCTGGTGTCCCGGTCCCAGGGCCGCTGGAGCTGAGGCCGCTAGATCCCCGCATGGTCAGTCTGACCCAGCCCATCCATTCTGGTCTGCTCGGAAGGTGATTTGCTTTAGCTGCAGGATGGATACAATGCTTAGTTGCTGGGCCACGCCCCTGAACTCTGTAGGCTCAGCCCTTCCTGCCTACCATGGAGGCTGTTCCCCACGTCAGTGACTCCTGTCCGTGCCGCTGGGAGCCTGAGGATGCACCTCCACTTCCCCTCCAGCCTGTTTCTTCCAGGGTCCTTCCTCCCCTCTCTGCCCCCTCCCCAAATACCTTGTGTCTCCAGGAAAGATAAAAGGGGGAATTTGGCAAGGGCTGGAGCCCCACCTGCTAGATTTCCTCGTGGGGTTCCCTTACTTTTTGGTCCTCCTCTCCCTGCTGCCACCCACCCAGCCTTGCTTGCTCTTCCGGGTGCACACCTCGGAGTAGCACTGGCTGGGGGACTCAGTGCCCAAGATCCTTGGTCCATGTCCAAAGCCCTCCCCAAATACCTCTCTGGAGTCCCACATTTTCAAACCCAATTTGCACCCACTCAGAGGGAACTGCTGATTTATAGAAAGTGGAGATGCTGTGTTGAAAGGGACTTAGTCTTCCACAGGAGCAGTGGGTCAGCAGGTGCATCACAGCACGGAGCTGTGTGCTGTCACTGGGGCGTGACACCCTGTGCTGCCTGAGAAAGCGCAGCCTTGGAGGATGGTGAGGCAGAGGGCAGCAGAAGAGATGTGGAGGAAGTACCTCCCAGACGGAGCAAAAAACATGAGGTCCTAAAAGGCTGTGGCGCATTGCAGGGCGTGGCAGCTCGCAAGAAGACGGAGAGGGAGGAGAGGACCGAGAGGGGTGGGCTGTGGCCAATGAGAATGGCCTCTCTGAGGATCTCTGCGTTATCCACAGGCATAGGAAGCCACCAGGCTTTTTCTAGCCACGCTCTTCTTTAAATTATGCAATCAAACCTCTACCGATTCTCTACCATGAGCTTCCAAACCACATTTATAAGCATGAAAATACACATACATTGATAGCTACATCCACAGCTTTGTCAGTTCTACTGTTTTGGGGGCATGTTTTCATGGGTACTTCCCCCTACATATTCTTCCCATTTTCTTTTGAAATGCCTGGTCTTTATCACCTACATTTTGTGATTCAATAAATAAGATGCAATTATGGGGGTACTTTCAAAATTTGTGGAGAAACTAAATTAAAAGATAAATTTAAGGGTGGGTATGTATGATGTTACAGCTTGGGACAATACTTGGGGCGCCCCCATCCTCTGTTGAAGCTCCTGGGTTCAAGTGCCGGCTCTACTTCTCATTCCAGCTTTCTGCTAGTGCACATCCTAGGAGACAGCAAGAGATGGCTCAAGGGCTTGGGTCCCATGAGTCCCTGCCACCCATGTATGAGACTCAGACTGAGTTCCTGGCTCCGGGTTTCAGCCTGATCCAGCCCTGGCTGTTGTGAGCATCTGGGGAATGAACTAACAGATGAATGATCTCTGTCTCTTTTCCTTGCAAAAAAAAAAAAATTGAAAATAAATTGAAGGGGCCAGCATTGTAGCACAGTGGGTAAAGCCATCCCCTGTGGTGCCAGTATCCCAAATGGATTCCAGTTCCAGTCCCGGCTGCTCCACTTCTGATCCAGCTCCCTGCTAATGGCCTGGGAAAGCAGCAGAGGATGATCCAAGTATCTGGGCCCCTGCACCCAGATGGGAGACCCAGAAGCTCCTGGCTCCTGGTCTCAGCCTAGCCCAGCGTTGGCAGTTGTGGGTAACTGGGGAGTGACCGAGTGGATGGAAAATCCCTCTTTCTCTCGGTCTTTTTCTGGAACTCTGGCTTTCAAAATAAATTTTTTTTAAAATTTTATTTTTTGACAGGCAGAGTAGACAGTAAGAGAGAGACAGAGAGAAAGGTCTTCCTTTTTGCCGTTGGTTCACCCTCCAATGGCCGCCGTGGCCAGCGCATCACGCTGATCCAAAGCCAGGAGCCAGGTGCTTCTCCTGGTCTCCCATGTGGGTGCAGGGCCCAAGCACTTGGGCTATCCTCCACCGCACTCCCAGGCCACAGCAGAGAGCTGGCCTGGAAGAGGGGCAACCAGGACAGAATCCGGCGCCCTGACTGGGACCAGAACCCTGTGTGCCGGCGCCGCAAGCAGAGGATTAGCCTATTGAGCCGCAGCGCCGGCCTACATAAATAATTTTTAAAAAGGAAATAATTGACTAAAAAAAGGGATAAATTTTGGTGTAAAAAATTTTTAAATCCAAGCCCATGTTTTTGTAATATTGATTTTCTATGAACTTTCTGAAGTATCCTTATAATTTCAATCCTTTCCCACTTGGACATCCAAAGATTACTTTTATAAGTCTGTGATGAACAGTTTATTAAATGTCTACATGTAGGCGTGTGTGTAGTGGTGACACCTTGTAGGTTTCTTTACTGAAGTGTTACAGGATTAATACGCAACACAACAAACTCAGACCAAGAACCTCTTTACAGAGAAAGGGTTCGTGGTAAAATTGGGCTAATCCCTTTGAGTTCCTTGCATACCAGTTTTCCAAGGGCTGATATCAGTGATAAACTCCTTTATCTTTTCTGAAATAAGATCGTCTTTGACCCAAAGTGCAACAGTCATTTTCAAAAACGAAAATCGCTGTCACCCCAGATCTCGGCCACGATGGAGAAAAACCACGGCACAAACAGAGGGCCCACGAGGAGAGGAGGACAGCCACGTCACACGCATGGCCACGTGTCCCACCCAGCGCAAGACAGCTGTCACCACTGTCCAGCGAGCGAGATCCAGCAAGGCAAAACAGGAGACATGCTGGGCAGACATGCACCGGCCCCAAAGTCAAGCACATCACCCCCCTCTCCCCGCCGCAGGCACCACTCACAGAAAACTCTAGCACGGCCGTGGGACTGAGCCTGAGGGAGGGCAGGTCGCTGAAGGAGCGGCTGCGGCGCAGCTTGGCAAGCAAAGCGTCCTGCAAAGTGCTCAAGACAGACAGCCGGCGGGGCTTGTCTGGGCCAGGGAGCAGCCACCTCTTCAGAAACCAAAGCAAGACAGGGAGTTAGCGGAGAGAACCAGGTTACCGTGTTCGCGTTAGCTTCGTAGCAAGTGTTTCTGATGCCCACAAGGAGGCCAGTACCGTAGTCACTGCTTTAAAAGACTCATCTTGGGGAACGCCCAGAAGCGTCTACCCGGGATCATCCAAGCCACAGGCAAAGCAGGGGTGAGGGGAGAAGACAGAGGAGCTCTGCCAGCCGACACACAGGGCCAAAGGCATCTCGGAGGGGCCTCCCGCGGGCATTACAGATTACGGCGAGCTTTGAGGATCCTACGGCTAGGCATTAGTGGCGACCGCTAACGCTATCTGTTACGCATTGCCAATCTTGGGTCGCAAGCATTAGCTCAGGTTAAGTCACACTGAACTTACGAAGAAGGAGTGATCCTTGAAGGTGGGCGTCTCGGGGGTGCCCTGGCTGTACATGGACATCCTCCGCTGTAGGGCCGCCGCCTTGTTCCCTGCACCGGACGATGGTGCCGTGTCATCCACATCAAAGGGACTGCAAGACAATGGGTTTCACGTGTGCACATCTGCTCAGATCCCCTCTAACTACTGGCCTGCAGGCCAGGCAAGCATCTCATTACACAGACAGAAATGCAAACCAGGGGCAACTGAGTGGGGCGGATGAACATAAACATATGCCTGCTTGCTCCAATGTAAGATGGGGGGAAGTCTGCAGAAAAAAAAAATCCATTGAACTTTGTAGGGCAGATATTGCAATAATGTAAAAGGACAGCAGATTACTGTTCAGTTCCAAAGAAAACACTCAACTACAGGATCCCATTCATCCCAGGTGTCGGAGGGCCCTGCGTGCTTGGGAAGGAGCCAGAGGTCTGTACACAGGGAAGCTGCTACTGCTCATCCAACAAGAGGAGCGGTCTCCTGTCTCCAGGCTAGGAGGGAAAGGCTGGGCAGAGTGCGGACACCATCCAATGGCCAGGTGGCTGGCGCTCCGCTGCTTCTACACGGACGTGTCTAATTTGTAAAGGAGACCCCGAACGTTCCCATCACCACGTCGCACTGACTTGGTTTCAACATATTCTCCGAATTTCATGGGTTGGAAACTTGGCCCCTAGGGCAGTGGTGTTGAGAGTTGGGATCAGAGCTCCGTCTTGATTAATGGGTGCTATGGTCTGGATGTTGGTTTGAGCATCCCCAGGCTGGTGCTATTGGGGGGTGGTAGAATTGTCAGGAGGTGGGTCTGGTGGGTGGTCCGCAGGCCCCTGGGACAGTGTGCTGGGAAGGCCGCACTCCTGAGACTGCCTTTGGCCCCAGCCAGTCTCTCGCTCTGCTTGGGCTCCGCGGATCCTTCCTCTGCCATCTCCCATGGGGCCTTCACCGGAGCTTGGATGTCATTGGGACTTCCAGCTTCCAGGAGTGTGAGCCCATCAGCCTCTGTTCTTTGTATACTACTTGGGCTCAGGTATTTTGCTATAAACTGAAAATGGATTAAGACAGCAACACACCAGGGACAGAACTCCAAACACGGTGAACTGCCCGAGTTCATAACTCAAGACTTTCCTTTCTCAGGGGGTGACTCTGGGAAACCTTTGACGGACATCTCCTGAGCGTTGGGAATATTCTATTTCAATAACTAGCACATGGAGGAACTAAGGAGAGCCACAGTTTCCCAGCACAGCATGAAGTACATGAGCTAAGGAGTGCTAAGCAGGGGTCGGCATTGTGGCGTAGCCTGCGATGCCAGCAACCTGTGTGGGCACTGGCTCGTGTCCCAGCTGCTCCACTTCCAATCCAGCTCTTTCCTAATGGCCTGGGAGAGGCAGTAGAAGATGGCCCAAGTATTTAGGCCTCTGCCACCCACATGGGAGACCCAGATGAAGCTCCTGGCTCCTGGCTTTGGCCTGACCCAGACCTGGATGTTGCAGCCATCTGGGGAGTAAGCCAACAGATGGAAGACCCCCCTCTCTCTCCCTCTCTCTGTGCGTGTGTGTGTGTGTGTGTGTCTGTCTCTCCCTCTGTAACTCTGGCTTCCAAAATAGATAAATCTTAAACAATGAGTGCTAAGCAATCAGAGTGCCAGTGAGAATCAGGTTCCTAGCCGAGGGCACAGCATCTCAACCTGGGTAGTTAATTCTTCTCACAGTAATTTACTTGAGAGACATATTTAGTTGTGTATGTTTAAAGGCAAAGAGAAAGGGAAGGAGGTGGCATACAATATTTAAGAACAGGAAGCAGAAGAGGAGAGCGGCGCCATGAGCCAGGCTTCTGCCCCTCTGCCACATGTGCGTGTCACCTGCTTTGTCACACACTCTCGGGCCTGAGCACCTGCTGTTCTAACGAGTGCCTCGGGCACGCTGGTGGCCTATGCACCCACTTGATGAGTGGCACTGGCCAATGGCACCTGCTTCTGCGGGATGAAGTCAAAGCTGCCACTTACTACCAGGCGATCTCCAGGTTGAGCTTGATCGTGCCGAGGTCGTTGATGTCCACGGCCACCGCCTGAGGCCGGGCTGCAAACAGCTCCTTGGTCTCGCAGGTGACACTGCCCACCAGGATGTGGGTCGCCAGCCCTTTGAGCTCTGTGACCTGGTGGAGAAAGCAAGGGTGGCTGTGTCGGGGAAAATGTGTGGTGCAGAGAGGAGTGTGTGCATGGAGGGGTGGTGACGGTTGTGATGGAAAAAGCCCCCCCCACCCCCGGAGGAACTGGGCAGCCGCGGCACCAGGCAAGACCAACAAGGGCCATGACAATCCTGTACCTTAATGGAAATGAACCCCACTATCAGGGGCAGGAAAACCATCTCTTCTCCATCCCAGCTCTGCTTGCCATTGACTTCTATCTTGCCTTTCAGCTTCCACCGCTGCCGGCCGTACTTCATGAAAATCTGGGAAGAGGACGTCACGTGGCCCACCCACGTTCCACTGCTCCCCCCACCCCCACCTCCGCTCCCCCAGGCTTCTCTCTTGGTGCTTAGGAGCTGTGACGAAAGGGGAAGAGACCCTGCTCCTCTACGAACAGAGGGCGGGGAGGTTTGCTCCAGCACAAGGTCACGGCCCCGGGTACTCCTGCTCCCTGCTGTCCGTTGCTTCTCCGGTTGGTCCTACAGCCTTAGGGCAGCCACCGCAACTAGTTCTCTACCCGCTCTCACTTCCTCAGAGACAGGAAACCATTGGCTAAACCACCTCCTGCCGAGAAGTCAGGAGCAAGAAACCAAGATGAGGAAGGTGGTGCCGCACGAGGACTAAAACCCAATCCATCTGGGGAGAGGACGGGCAGGTGTCCTGGGGTCAGGCAGCTGGGATGTTAGGGAAGACCCTCCCCAACCCCCAGAGGGGTCGGACCATAGAAGGTTCTGGAGGAGGACATGGTTCTATGACAGTATCATGCCAGTTTCCTTTTGTAAGGAGGAAAGATTAAAGGCTTTTTTTTTTTTTTTTTTAAATACAGTTTCATTACTCTTCAGTCATGACTCTGGATTGGATCCAAAAAAAAAAAAAAAAATCCTGCTACAAAGTATACTATTGGGACAGGTGGCTAAGAGCTGAAGTTGCAGTGTTAACCTGTGTGAGGCTGACACAGGGGAATGCCCAGCCTTGCTTAGGAGGAGGAGTGAGGCACGAAGGGTCACCATGTGTGCATCTTCAAGTATTTCCCCCAAATAATATCAGCATGACTGATGCTTCAACCACAGCTAATGGTGATAATGCGAGTGTGGCAGAAAGTGAGAGCAGTGAAGGTCTCCTACCAGTCTCCAAACCCTCTCACTGGCTCAAAATGCTACCAAAAAAAACAAACAAACAAACAAACAAACAAACAAAAAACAAAACGCAAAGCAAAGCAAAGCACCCAGGTGCAGCCCCCGCCCTTCATGGGCACTTACCTCATACTGATCTCCGGGGCAGAGGCGAGCGAAGCCGGCCAGGCCTGCAAGTGAGCAGTGAGGCATGAGTCCCGGAACACCCCTCCGCGGGCACTCCCAGGGCCCGTCCACAGATTCAAACGCAGCGTCAGTCTCTTGTGAGGACTCACAGAGCCTCTGCTGGGACTGTGTGGGGGCCAGAGGACATTCTGGTTGCAAACGCAGGGTGGGGTGGGGTGTTGAGCAGCAGGTGGCTCCTGGAGCCGGGTACTGCAGCCAGAAAGGTGTGGTCCTTTATCTACTCACCACATCCTCATGGAAATAAACCGGTCTTCCTGATCCAAGATTAGTGATTTGTTTACTTTCGATTATTCGAAAGACAGTTCTTTATTTGGTGCAGGGTTAAGCTTGTGATTATAAAATAAACTGAAAGTATGTCATTGTAGAAATTAAAAGAAAAAAATGAGAGGAGGAAGGAAGGCAGGGTGGGGAGTATCATGATACTCTTAAATCTGAATATATGAAGTATATGAAATTTGTTCACCTTATATAAGTAAAATAAAAACTTAAATTATTTGAAAGACACACACACACACACACACACACACCCCTTCAAATGCCCACAACAGCCAGGGATGGGCCAGGCCAAAGCCAGGATCCCAGAACTTATTCTGGATGTCCTGTGTGGGTGGCAGGGGGCACGAGTATTTGAGCCATCACCTGCGGCCTCCCAGGTGCACATCGGCAGGACGCAAGAACTAGGAGTGGAGCCAGGACTCCAAGCCAGGCACTCCGACAGGGCCTCTGGGTGTCCCACGCACTGTCGCATCTGACGCCCAATGCCTGCTATGTCTGGTATTTTTCTGAGAGCAGCATCCTACTCACACAACTGAAACTCAGAGAAAAAGTCTGTCTCTTTTGACATGGAGAGGCCAGAAGCGCTTGGGCCACAGACTCTCCTCCTGGTACAAGGAAGGGGAGGGTGCACTCAGCAGGGCCTCAATGCCTGCTGTCTGTCCAGCAGCCACAGAGGGGTGGGAGGGAGGCATGCGAGTCCCACGAACACGGTGAGGGCAGGCGGCTCAGCAAGGGGCTGACAGAACCCCAGCTTCGCCGTCACCACTTGCTCCAGCCTCTGTCACTGGTTTGGGTGCCAACCACGAAGCAAAGCCAGGAACGTGTACAGGGACCCAAAGAGTGAAAGGTTTAGTCGAGGAACAACTTTAATAAAAATGGGGGAGAGAATCTTTGTCAGTTTTTAATCTTCTGATGAAAAAAAAACAATAACATTTTATGATAAAATCTAATTAAAATTTTATCATAAATGTTTACAGTGAACTTGCAATAAAAGGCAATATTTAAACTGTAATTTTAAGTGTACACCCAGAGGCGAGGTATAAAATCTTAGACAAAATAGGACCTCAACTCGGTATAAATGTAGCCGCAGGAAAAATCTAGAAAAGCATACCAAACTACGGCATAGGATGGGATTATGGAGAGTTAAGTATCAGGCAATAAGTTGTAATTTTTTTAAAGTGCATTTATTTTGTGATAAAAGGAAAAAAGAGAAAAGGACTACTAATGTGGCAGGCAGTATATACACGCAAACATATGGCTGCATTTTGTGAAATCTTAAAGTCTAGCGCTGCGTGGAGTGACTGTGTGATGTTAGTTTGGGATGAGTATCTCTCCATGTTCTTTAAAGCGAGAAGCTACCACTCCCAAATACTGACACAGATTCAAGAAGACCCGAAGAATCCCTGCCAGCTTAGCCAGAGATTTGAGAGGGAGCCAGAGAGGAAATAATTTTGATTAGCGGGTGCTGAGATGACCTCGCATGCAAAGATGTCCACATGACAAACAGGTTCTTGGTCCTCAGCCTTCTCCGTGAGTTTAAATATGGTTTCGGACAGTGGGGATGGAGCCCACAGTGAACTCTGCCAGGATAGCAAAGGCTGATTGGCGGCTTTCAAAATGCACATGTAGTTACCATTGCCATCAGTAGGTGGCAGTAGCTCACCAGCCTGCCCATGTAGCTACGCTTTCACTGTTAATAGGTAGGTTAACAAGCCACTTACTGAAATCAGATTTAAAGAAGCCTATTTTCACTAATAATTTTTGGAGCATTTAACGTTTTTTTTTTTTTTTAGAAAACGCTTATTAAAAATTAAAAAAATGCTTCTGAAAGGCAGCATAAATGGCTGGATTTTACAAATCCAAAGCTAGACGAGCTAATTCTAATAAAATCCAAAGTGCTTTTTAAAAACCTTTACAAATTAGTTTGGGATTAATCCAGTGCCTGTTTACCCACATCACGACAATGGGAGCCTGATGAAAAAGCAACCGACCTGGCAAAGGGGAACCCAGGGGCAAATCTTTCGAAGGTTTGTTTCCCTTTGCAAAAAAAAATCAGCAGAAATTTCACATCTAAAGAGCCTAACCAGATGGGACACAGGCACTTGGTACTGAAGTTTCTGCACTGCTCGGTTTATATTATTAAAGCAACATACCTTACGACTGCTTGTCAGGCATCAGATACTCTGATCACACAAAGCAGTAAGGAAACAAGCCAGCCACAGCCAGCAAAGCCAGTGCTGCCACTTGTGCAAGGCTCTCCCACAGCCTCATCTGCAGGGCCCAGATGCTACAGCTTGCAGCTGCCCGACCTTGTGTTCTAGCTCAGGCACCACTCTGCCAGAACAGCGCTCTGCTGGGGTCACCGTCGTGGCACAAAGGGTTAAGCCGTACTACTGCTTGCAGCACCCGCATCCCATATCGGAGCGCTGGTTTGAGTCCCAGCTGCTCCACTTCTGATCCAGCTCCCTGCTAATGAACTTGGGAAAGCAGTAGCTGATGGCTCAAGTACCTGGGCCCCTGCCACCCATGAGGAGACCCGGAAGGAGTTCCAGGCTCCTGACTTCGGCCTGACCCAACCCTGGCCATTGCTGACATATGGGAGTGAACCAGCAGATGTAAGAATTTACTCTTCCCTCTTACTCTTCCAAATAATTTTTCAAAAAATGAAAAGGAATATTCTCCCTCATTTTTTCCTCCAGTTCTCCAGTGATTTTCTTTTCTAAGAGTCACACTTCCTACTCTAGAACAAGAGCCAGTAGGTAGACTTCTACTACAGGCCCTATTGGGTCATCGGCAGGCATAGCAATGCAGGTTTCCCAGCTCACTGGCATTCCGAGCTGTGGGGTTCCAGCACAGCCTGTCGGACGTCCACACCGCGTGGAACTTCTTTTGACCCAAATTACAGGTGGGCAGGGGTGAATCAGTTTTCCCTAAGGGACCGCATCTCTCAGCCTCAGCCCCAACGGCCGCCACGGGATTCCTGGCTCTCTTCCTAATCTGGTTACAACGAACTCTCTAGAAAGTCTCGTCTCGCCAAGTGCTCTGGCCCCTCCAGTCTTCCTGTCATTTTTGAACAATGCTTTCCCCCTTGGTGAGCACTGTTCCTGTGCTGTCTGTCCATCCACCTGCACAACCCTGCTCATTATGATCCAACAGTGACGCTGGGAAGCCTTCCTCCTCTGCTCCCTTCCTCCCCCGGCAGCCAGGTGGCAACCTGTTCCTCTGGCTTCTACAGCAAGCTGGCCACACTACTGGTCCCTGTTCCAATGGGTCATTGGGTTGTTGAATGAGAGGGTTACTGGCTCACATAGCCATTTTCACCATGGGACTTCATGGAGCTCAGGCCAGGGACCATGCATTAGGGTGAAGCCTGGTGAACCGAGTGCTAAGTGCTCGCTCCATTGTCTCCACCATCCTCACTGCCCACCCTCACAGAGCTGTCTGTGTGTTAGGGGTGGGACAAGAAGGGAAGTATGGTGTGGATGGGTGTGATGGGAGGAAGTCAGGGGTTGCCAAGACCCAGAATACAAGGGCACAGTCTCAGCTTGTCAGTATATAGTATGTACACCAACTTCCTGTGTGACTTCCCAGTGCAGTCAATGAACCTCTGGTGGGCAGCCCCAGTTCCCATCTATCAATTGGAGAAACCACTGTTCAGGCTACTCTGTGAAATGCATCTGCCCAACATGAACTCAGGGCTGCTGTGTGTTCCACAGCCTGGCTGCTCATAGCATCATCCTGAAAGTAAAAAAAAAAAAAATAGCCACAGGGCTGGCCTTGTGGCACAGCGAGTTAAGCCGCCACCTGTGACGCGAGCATTCCATATGAGCGTCAGTTTGAGTCCCGGCTGCTCCACTTCAAAAATAAATCTTTAAAACAAACAAACAAAAACAGCCCAGGGCCCATGCTTAGGACTGTGGGCTGTTTGTTTGGAAGAGGCAGAGGGGCTGGATGGTTTTGGAGCCACTGACTCAGGAGGTGGCTGGACCTGGAGACCGAGGGTGCACAGAGGCGTGACTCAGTAGTAAGTGCCAGGGTTGAGCACGGAGTGGCCAACTGGAAGCGGAGGGCAGGTGTTCTCACCGGAGGCAGCCACTTGAGGTAGATGATGCATTGCCAAATCAGGCTCTCCTGGGCAGCCCTCTTTAAAGGCCTTCCTTGCTGGTGCCCTTCATGGCAGAAAGCCCAGGAGAGGGTGACTGTGTCACCCAGGGAGAATTGCAGAGAAACCTCCTAAAGGAAAATGCACAAGCCCAGGCCCTTCGGGCTGCAGAGGGGCTGGCACGTGGGGGAGCAACGCACTCGTTCCGTGCTGGCTGCCTCCCCACACCGAGCTGTCACTCTGACCACGCCCGGCCACTGCTCCAATGCCAAACACCTGGCTGCCTCTCTGTTCTGAAGCTGCTGTGGGATAGATCACTCTGCTTCTGGGCGGGAACTCTCTGGAATAAACACCAGAAGGGCATTGCCAGAAAGGGAGAAGGCAGAGTGGGGGATTCAACAGCAAGATCAAAAACTGGGAGGCAGGGACTCCAAAAAGTTCATGGAAAATGCCTATTATGAAAAAACTACATGTGGATTTAAAAAAACTGCTGGACCAAAATATACTTTTCATTTCCATTTTTCCAGAAACCCTTTGAAGTGCAATGGTAGGAAGGTAACAGACACACAAGGGAGAAAGGAACAATTTAAATGACACCGCCCAGAAGCCAACAGGCTGGCCCGGCACACGGGACATTCTGCACGAAGGTTTCTACCAGGCAGTGTTAGGAAAAGAGGGGCGGGCTTGTTTCACGGGAAAACAAACCACAAAGATACACCTAACAACTGAAGTTCTCACGCCTGGTGCAGGTCCCACGTGAGCAATCATCTGTACAGAACCATTTCGAGACAACTGGGGAACCTTGACAATGGAACAGGTTACTAACAAAGGCTGGGACAGCGTGACAGCCCTCAGGATGGTGGGGACACAATTTCTTCAAGTCTGACTAAGCAGACTGATCTATCTGGGCTGTGTTTCATCCATCAAAGGAAACACAGATGAGACAAATGTGGCAAAATCTTGCAGATGATTAAATCTATCTGATGGCGTTCATTCTCATTTCTTTCTACTTCTGTTTATGTTCAAGGTTCGCTCATCATAAATGGATTAAGTGGGTAGGCAAGTGTTGGGATGCGGGGCACCAGCCCTGGCAAGGAAAACAATAATGTGTGCCCCCCCCCAAGGACCCCTGCAGGGCTGGCCCCACAGGTTCTGCAAAAGGGGAAAAGTACCTTTCATCTTGATGGAGAATTCCCCCAGCAGGTTCTCCAGCTCCGCCTCAATGGTGCACATGTTCTGCAAGGAGGACGGGAGAGAAGCGTCAGGACTCCCTCCACACAGCAGCTCAAGTCCACAACATTTTACAGCCACGGTAATCGCACGGACAGTGGGAGGCATCCGCCCTCCCGCACAGCCCAGTGTGTGAGATGACACCCATACCTGCGTCCAAGCAAGCTTTCTGATACACAGGTAATTCAGGGCATGGATAAACAAGTTATATCAAAAACAGACACATCCGGAAAGGGGGATCTTCCATCAGAACTGGCCTGGGCTTCACACAGAGGGGGAAAAAATCCGAGACAGAGACTAACAAGGTATAACAACCAAAGCAACCCTTAACCTGGAGTGGATCCTGACTTGAAAGACAATAAACTACAAAGGAAAAGACATCACTGGGGCTGGCGCTGTGGTGTAGTGGGTTAAGGCACGGTCTACAGAACCAGCATTTCACGTGGGCGCTGGTTCGAGTCCTGGCTGCTCCTCTTCTGATCCAGCTCTCTGCTATGGCCTGGGAAAGCAGCAGAAGATGGCCCAAGTCCTCGGGCCCCTGCACTCATGTGGGAGACCTGGAAGAAGCTCTTGGCTCCTGGCTTTGAACAGCTCAACTCTGGCTGTTGTGGCCATTTGAGGAGTGAACCAGTGGATGGAAGATCTCTCTCTCACTCTGTCTCTCCCTAACTCTTTTTTTTTTTTAATTATTTATTTGAAAGGCAGACATTATTGGACCAAATAATGGAACTTTGAAAATGGACCAGTACTAGAGAATTCTGTAGGATGATTGCTAGCTTCCTGACTTGGGATAATGGCAGGTGTTTTTACAGGAGACACACACCCTAATGGGCTACTATTCAGAGATCCGTGCTATCCGTCAGCTTGCTGTACCCATTCCACAATGCGTACACATTCCAAATCATTTGTACATCTTAAGCATATACAATATTTACTTGAGGCCCACACTCAAACATTTATGGGGTGAAATGTCACAGATGTCTTTCTTTCCTGTCAAATGACCGAGAAGAAAAAATTGAAGTTATGAGACAGAGGGAAAGCAAATAGAGGGTAAATCTAGGTTTGTGGGTTTTAATCTACTCATCTTTCAACTTCGCACATCTGAAATTTTTCCTAATACAAAGTAGGGACAGAGGGAACACAGGAAGTCAGTTCCAACCCTGTCAGGGAGGCAGGATTCCCGCTACGGTGCCCAGTGCCTGAAAATGATGGGTGCATCAGACAAGGGTCCTCTCCCATCATGCCACAGTCGAGGGAACAGCGCAGCCAGAAGACCACACTGTCCTGCAGGCTGTCGGCTATGTGACCCCCAGTCCCAGCCCTTGTCCCACCGTATCCACAGTGTTTTCCAGTGGAGACTGGGAGGCCAGCTCTGCTACACGGTCCTGTGTGGCACCAGCAGGCTTTTCCTGTGGCGCTAGCTTCCATCGAGGTTGGAGGCTCGGGGTGGCCACTCCGACCAAGGCATGGCCAGAAACAGCACAGCCGGCACTGTCAGATACGGATTCCACCCTACTTTTGTGTGCAGAGCTCTTCTGAATGGATTTTGTAAGACTAGAGATTCCGGTTCTTACTTCTCCTTTTGTTCTGCTCCAAATGGTCATTGTCGTGGTCGCCTTTCTCCCTCGTAAATTCTCAGTACCTCAATAGCGTAGCCATGCTGGGGGACACTTTCTGAAGCCTGAAGCCCATGCAGCTTGAACACTTTTGAAAACAGCCTTAACATTGCAAACCAATTTACTCAGCGGGCTGGGCAGGTCCGTGAAGGAACAGGTCAGAGTTTCCAGAAATTTCAACTACGTCAGCGTGCAGGTCAAGGTCGCTCACTGCATCTTTGAAAAACGTACAGGGCAGCGAGGTTAACCGATGAGGACACGCATAATCAGAATCTGGTTCTGTCTCACGCATGGCAGCCATTGATAACACTGCTGCACAAGCAAAAGCGCCCTGAGCCATCTTGCCCCAAACTCTCGTGGTGATGCAATCCTGGCGTCTACGTCCAAGTGCGGTGTGAAGCTACAGAAGCCCTGCCCTGCATTTTCCTCTAAGGCAGCCCTTCCTCTCTCGCTCAGATTGTACTGTGAGTTTATGAGCAAAGCCGAGATCGCATATCCTTGGCACTTGACCAAGGGTGGCTATTTATGAGGTGACCTGCAAATATTCTGGGACACGGAGCCGCTGCTCAGTTATCTGCCTGTGTACTGGGAACAGCCTCTAAAATTGGAAACTGCTCTTTGGATTTCAGAGGCCTGTAGAAATGAGGTCTTGTTAACTCTGCTGGCCTCTAAACAGAGAATCTCAACTCGCATGTCCACAAACTTGGGTGAGCATGGGGAGAAAGAGTCGCAGCTTTGTTTTCACTTGAAATTTAGCACTTCTACTTATCATGAATGTAGAAAACAAGCCACAACAGGGGCTGGCACTGTGGCACAATGGGTTAAAGCCCTGGCCTGCAGCACCAGCATCCCGTATGGGCGTCCGTTCAAGTCTTGGCTGTCCCACTTCCGATCCAGCTCCCTGCTAATGTGCCTGGGAAAGCAGTTGAGGATGGTCTAAGTGCTTGGGCCCCTGCACCCACGTAGGAGACCCAGAAGCAGCTCCTGGTTCTTGGCTTTGGCTCTTGGCTTTGGACTGGCTCAGCTCCAGCCATTGTGGCCATCTGGGGAGTGAACCAGCAGATGGACGACCTCTTTCCCTCTCTCTTGCTCTCTGTCTCTACCTCTGTAAGTCTGTCTTTCAAATAAAAAAAAAAAAAGCCATAGCAGTATTAGTAATACCTGTGACTTTGATACTGAGAGAAGTCATATGCATTTCTTGTTGCCTTATTTATTGTGGATAACACAAACACATTTATATCTTTCACTACTTCGAACTTTCAGCCATCATTAGAGCCATTGCCATATCACTTTTCTCTTTGAAATCTAGGTCTGTTTTACGCATTGAGAAAACATAATTCTGGGAAGGGAATATTAGGTGAAGAAGTTGTGCTGTAGGTCTTAGAGAGACCTCCAGGTTCAGACGAGAGCCAGTGCCAAGCAGACACGCCCCCGGCCCACCGAAGGTCACCGGGAGGCCCTGCGGTCCCAGGGCTGAGCCTGGCGCTCACGTCTGGGAATCATGTGACAGACCTGCCTCAGGCCAGTGACGTCATCCACAAGCTGCGACCTCCGAACAGACTCACAGGATGGCGAGGAGGGCGGCTTTAATCATTCAGTCGTTTCACGGAAGAGACTGGCATTAGGTGACCCCGGTGGGAGGGAAGATCTCTGTGTGTCCGATGCTTGGGCTCCAGAGAGTCAGAAATCGGGAGGAACTCACTTGTGTTCAGGTTTTTATCTCGCCTCCTTCTATACAAGTTTCACCCGCACACATATTGCAGGCAGAAGGGTTCCTGAGACCCAGCTCTGACCATCTGAACTGTTTAACTGTCGGGGGATAGCACACACTAGAATACTTGCGAGTGCACTTAGATGACCGAATCACTGCACTGCTGCTCAACCCATCCATTTTAAACAACCTCGCTAATGGCCTCTCTTGCAATATTTTGAGGCCACCGGAACTTTTCCTGCTAGCGAGTGGAAGGAGGTTGTGGGCTGCTGTTCGCCTTGCCCTGGGCAGTTACCAGCAATTCAGATCAGACCAGGCGGGGCCAGAAGCATACCTCTGTGTACTCCTTGAAGCTCCGGTTGATCTCGGACAGACTCTCGCGCGCGGCTTTGCTGGCTGGGGAACTGGCAAAGGCTTGCTTCATCTTGCTGGCACCATCTTGGAGGCGTCGCTGGATACAATAAGCTTCATAGAGCTCATCTACCTGCCAGAGCCACACAGGAAACAGGAATAAAAACACTGTCACTCTCGAAGGATGCTCCCTGGGTCACTGCTACGTGCTTGAGACGCTTTATGTTTCTGAACTGAACAGGGAAAACCTCGTGTAACTGTTTTTAATTATTGTTTAAAAGGTAAAGAGAGAAGGGTAGGGAGACACACCGACAGACAGATGGACAGCTGGAGCTGGGTCGGGCTAAGGTAGAAGTTGAAACTCAATCCAGGTGTCCCACGTGGGAAGGAGGGACCTGAGTACCCGAACCCCGAGCCAACACCGCAGCCTCCGAGGGTCCACCCTGGTAGGCAGCTGGAATCGGAGTGCAGCTGGAATTCAAACCCAAGTGCAGGGATATGGGCCTGGCTGGCGTCCCAGGAGGTGTCTTACTTGCTGTGCCCAAGTGTTGTTTTTTGAAATAGAGACCAAGCATCCCTGTTTTAGACATTATGATCCACTTGTCTCAAGACAGATTATGCTTTGATCCTGTTTTCAAATAACTGGAAAGTAAAAATGCATCTCATTTTTTTCTGTTTGGCATTGTTTAAAATGATCTTGGGGGGTTTTGTGGGTCTGACGTGGCCCTTGTGAGCTGGGTAATGAAGATCTGGCTACGCAGGGCTCTGAGGTACCGGGACAGCTGCCGGAGTTTCACACAAGGATGAACAGACTAGACTATCATTACTTTACAAGGTATTGTCACAGGTGATATTTCTATCTCTGCATTCAGCATTGTCATAAAGAACTTGATGTTATATATTGCAAACAATTCTTGTAAATTCTTGGCTCAATAAGGAAAAAATGAAAATTATTTTACTCTTAAAATTAGGGTGAAATAATTGTTAAAACTTAACATTTTTAGAACTGAATTATTTTCTCTAGAAATTATCACACATTTTAAAAGTGGACACAATGAAAATTCTCTTTCTGCTCTATCTACATTCATGCCTGAAAATAGTAAAATACTCATTTCTTTTTTTTTTTTTTTGGTGGGGGAGGAGGGATGAGGGTACCAACCCTCATCTTCCGGCTCACTCTCCAAATGCCTAAATGGCCAGGGTTGGGTTGGGTCAAAACCAGAGGCCAGGGTGGAAGTTAATAACTCATCCAGGTCTCCCACATGGTGGCAGGGACCCCAACACTTGAGCATCAGTGCAGCCTCCGAGGGTGCACGCGGACAGGAAGCTGGACTCAGGAACGGGGCTGAGACTTGAACAGGCACTGCGAGGCGAGATGTGCTAGTCCCAACCCACAGCGTCACTGCTCAGCCAAATGCCTGCCCCATAACACACCCTTTATCATAGAAACCTGATAACCACTTAATACTTCCGAGGCAGTGGTTCTCAATCAACCCTTGGGCGATTTTGACCTCCAGGGGGCTCCTGGCACCTAGTAGGTAGAAGCCAGGGGTGCTGCTAGACACCCTATAATGCAAAGTATTTCATTATTTTGATTTACTATAACAGCATAGAGTGACTGCAAAAATATCAACAGTGTGGAGGTTGAAGGAAACCTGTTTTTTAGTCATTTCTGATGGTGCCCCTCTCCATCGTCTCAGACCACCTTCAGTTCTCAGCACACGACACCAATGGCAGTAAACTTAGAGACATTTTCAGGCAAATAACAAGGACACTAAGACCAGCCATCTGCAGAACCAAACGAAACCCATTAATCCCAGAGGCAGCTACCCACCTAGGCCTATCTGTGTTTTCATTTCAGTACAAACTTTGGGCCTGATAAGGAGGCTTAGGCTGTAGGACCTAGAAGGCATGGATGCATACACTGCATTTCAGAGTTTAGGATGCCCCCTCTTCTGCTGCAGACCGACGTCTGGCAGCTCCCCACAACCAATTCTCATTAACACCGAGCTTAGACTGTGAGCATGAAGGGACTGAACATTATTCTCACAGTTCAGAGGATTTCTGGTTGTGACTTAGTTCAGTCATTCACTCAACTTGCCACCAGGACCTCCTAACCTCAGAAAAGATTAGTCTGTGAAGTCCTCAGAGTGAAAGGATTTACCTGTGATGCAGAGGGAGGAGCAAGACTCAGGGAGGCTACTGATAAAAATCTTTTGCTGGGTGACTGGCTTAGAGCAAGGTCTCCAGGCTGTAAAACTAAGTGGAGACTCACCTGGAGAGCTTGTTAGAATGTTGATACCCACGGCCTATGATTTAGTAGGTGGGGGCTGGGCCAGGCACCTGGAATTTTACATGAGCACTGCAGATGGCTCCGATGTGGAAGATCCCCACAAACAGTGCTGATCCTTCTTCCAGTGTGGGCCAGGCTGGTCCACCCACGCCATCTCCTGGGACATTGTGCCTTCCATCCTTTCTCCCATTCCTGGGTATCCCAAAGTGGCAAGCCCCCCAGGCCACTGGTGTCACTTTAATGACTTAGTATCTTGCCTTGAAAGAAAAGTTTTCATTTCTGTACCGACCTATCCTAGCCCAGTGAGTTAAACTGTAAAATAAAGGATCCTATACACCATTTGTAGGCAAGCATTTGTCCTAAGTCAGCAGTGGCTTTCCTCAAATAAACTGATTAACTGACTCATTAATCATATATAATTTGTTAGGAATCTTGAGTGTAAGGTGCTAACGTAGAGCCCTAGCAAGCTGTAAAAACCATTGGGACTACTGCATCTAACAACAGTACAAGACGGATGAATACAACTTCTACTCAAAAAAGCAGAACATAGAACCAGTATTAACTAAACAGAATAGTTTGCCCAAGCTTGCCTGCCACACAGATACCTTCCAATGGGTGTCATGTTTTATTTATTGAGTTTGGCATAAACGGGAGCAATTTTAGATTTGCTAAGATAACATATGTCCTCCAAGGAGCAGACTTGAGTATGTAAAAATCACCACAGAACTTTAAACCAGCAAGGATTCTTGGGGTCACTGAGATCCAACGTATGTACCTCCCCACCTCCATTTCACAGAATGGGTAAGCCAAAGTCTCCACGGATGACCTGGCCAGTGGGTGTGCAGCAGAGTCGGGGGACCAGAACCCAAGGCTTCCAACTCTTAGACTGTACACCTGCTGGAACCCACGCCGATGCACCTGGAGGGAGGACGATGGGTGTGACGGGACCAGGAATTACTAGTGCTGTAACTCAGCTGCCCCCAAAGGGCAATCTCCTCTAAGCTACACCGGTGACTCCTGTGTGTCCCGCACAGAGGGGCAATAGTCCCCTTCGTACTAGGCTGGCTGGACCACCTGTGAAATAGTTACCTATTCAGGGCTGCCTGTGCATGTGCAGAGACAACAAGGATGCAAAGGCACCTGGAAGCCATGCCATGTGCGGATGAGTGCAGGGGACACAGGGCTGGCTGTCCTCAAGAGGCTTCATGAAGATGTTTAGGGGACACCAAGTTATGTGCGGTACAGAGAGCAAAGTCGGGCAAGTATGACAGTTTGTAGGGTCAGTTTGGCTCCATCTCATTTCTGACAGCACCACCCAGATACCTAAGTCTAACAGGGACTGTACACGCTCTGCAACGAGCACCGAATAGATGTTTGCAGACCGCTGCGGAGTCTGGCCTGTGTTTTCCAGCTCTGCTGCCTGTCGGAAGCCTTACTCACTCATCAGTACAGGGGCCAGAGAAACCCTCCGCAGACTAGATGCTATGCACAGGCCCACTGACGGCACTGATCAGACACGGAGAAACACAGGGCGAAACAGGAGCTTCGGTTACCTTGCTAATGTGGAACTCCAGGCGTCTCATGTACCTTTCAATCGTTTTAATTTGCTGGAATTAAAAAGAAGTTGGACAGGTCAGCCATTTACAGTTCGACAATTTAGACTTATGAGCATATCTTATTATCCCATTCTTAAAAAGGAGCCGGCGCCGCGGCTCACTAGGCTAATCCTCCGCCTAGCGGCGCCGGCACACCGGGTTCTAGTCCCGGTCGGGGCGCCAGATTCTGTCCCGGTTGCCCCTCTTCCAGGCCAGCTCTCTGCTGTGGCCAGGGAGTGCAGTGGAGGATGGCCCAGGTGCTTGGGCCCTGCACCCCATGCGAGACCAGGAAAAGCACCTGGCTCCTGCCATCGGATCAGCGCGGTGCGCCGGCCGCAGCGCGCCGGCCGCAGCGGCCATTGGAGGGTGAACCAACGGCAAAGGAAGACCTTTCTCTCTGTCTCTCTCTCACTGTCCACTCTGCCTGTCAAAAAAACAAAAACAAAAACAAAAAAACAGGAAATGCTAACTATTTCCCCTTCCTCCTGTATTTGTTGCTATTTTAGATTCTCTAATATCTACTCAAAGTATTTTTTTAATATGAAAATTCTGAGAGATGAATGTAAGTTATTGGAAAGCATGCATTTAACATAAAGGAAGGCCAATTTGATGGAATTCGCTGGATTTCTGGCAAGAGAGCACTGCATTTAAATTTTTTCGTTATATATTTTATCTGGTCTAAGATGGACATTTTTTCCCTTCCACGTTTTAGTGACTCTGAACTTGAGGTGCGTTTTATAATTGCTGCTGGCCAAGGGGCAGACAGCTGCCTGCACACGCTCAGGATAATCACAATTATTCATGTGTCATCTCCTTGAGTTATAAATATTATTGTTATTACGTGCATTTAATGTAATTGCCTTTAAAATGTCTTTAAGAAGAATATACTATGATTCAGCATGGAAATAAAGTTATTGCATACACAGAAAGGCATGAAAAGAGCAGCAGCATACATACATTAAATCAAACAAACAAAACCACGACGTCTAAATAGGTCTAAAAGAATTTGAGCAGCAATAAAACACCAATGTTAAGTGAGGAGGAACTACCAAAGTTCAACTGGAATTTTTTCTTAGTGGCATATAAACTGATAAGCATTTTTCAAAGATGTGTGAGATCTGATGAAATACAATAGTTAAACCTAGAGACAACACCGATGAGGGCCTCCCGAGACCTGCGAAGTAAGTTACCAGAACACCGAGAAACCCTACCACCCAGTGGCACTTTCTGGAAGTGACCTTCAACCCATTACAGAGTCTGCAGGTCACAGTAGTCACTCTGCAACCTCAGACAAAGCACAGGTTTTTCTGGGATTAGAAAAACCAGTGTTTCATCAACATGGCTGTCTCTGAATCTACTCAAAAATGCAGACTTTTTTTCATCGACACCCCGAAACACAGAAGGCAAACTTACCTTGTCTAGATCATACAGCACACCCTAAAACAGAGAAAGGAATATCGGCATTAAAACACGCTCTCACCAAATTGTCCTTACCATTAATAGAGACACAGGGGTACACAGGAAACAGCGAAATCGACGTTGGCCCCTAGAAGCACTCTTCCTGGTTTCTAAAATAACCTGCATTTTTGCTGTTCTGAAGCAAATGTCAGAAAATCCAGTGGAACCTTGCAGGGTTGAGATAATGTGGAAACACAGACCTGTCTCTCTACTGATGTTCTAGGGGGCACCGGGCCTGCAGAAGCCCCTCCATCCTTCCCCCATCATTCTCTAAGGAGGAACATTTGCTGGTCAGGGCCACTCGAGTGCTCTGAAGGCCACCTGGCCACCCCACAAGGAGCTCCACACAGATGGGGCGACTTAGATTCCAACTTCAGCAGCACCTAACACCTGGCAGCCTTGACAGCTCTTCTCATCTACCTGCAATCCCAGTATAAGGAGGCTTTTCCCAGGCTTTCAGATGCATGGAAACATTAAGGTGCAAGGACATCAAAACTGAACACAATCAGAATAGCAGACATTAGAAACACCTCTCCCACCAGGCAAGCCCTCACCAATTCAGAGCAGAGAAAGTTCCCAATACGATGTATATATAATCAAACCGGCCCCAGGACAGCTGGCCTCCAAGTCCCTACTCCCTCCTTAACATCACTGTCCTATCATAGTCTTTAAAAACTGGAGACTTCTGGGTTCCAAATTCTGTATGTACTAACAATATGCTACTCCAACTTTTCATTTCCTTAGAGAAATCATTTTATCTTCATAAAACAGGCTTGAAAAACACTGAAAAGGATTAAAGACAGAAGCTTTGAGAAGAAAGCCCAACCTCCCTCTTCCTTTTAAATCCTTACTTAATGTATACTAAGCTGATCTTCTGTATATTAAGATAATCGAAAATGAATCTTGATGTGAACGGAAGGGGAGAGGGAGTGGGAAAGGGGAGGGTTGTGGGTGGGAGGGACGGTATGTGGGGGAAGCCATTGTAATCCATAAGTCGTACTTTGGAAATTTATATTCATTAAATAAAAGTTAAAAAAAAATGCATATCAGGATGCAGACAATGCTTTGGCCCTCGGATCTGCTTCTCTTTAATGTTCCCAGCCCCAACCGCATCCAGTGCAGGAAGAAACTCAGCCCCGACCCCGCTGAGTCAGCATCCTAATGACTGGACGGTACCCACCAGGCGAGAGTTTCTCTTCATATCTTTTAACTGTGCCGTCAGCTTGTCCAGCTCCGTCTGGTGAACCTCCAGATACTCACTGCAAAGACAAGGGGGGCCATGAGCTCCAAGACGTACCCGCCGTGAATGACCTTTCCCTCCCGAAGGGGAAGGGTAGGGCTTGGGGTGTCCCCCCATCTTTCAGCATTTCAAAGCGCAGCGTGGGGCCGGCGCTGTGGCTCAGTTGGCTAATCCTCCACCTGAGGCACCGGCATCCCATATGGGTGCTGTGTTCTAGTCCCGGCTGCTCCTCTTCCAGTCCAGCTCTCTGCTGTGGCCCGGGAGGGCAGTGGAGGATGGCCCAAATGCTTGGGCCCTGCACCCACATGGGAGACCAGGAGGAAGCACCTGGCTCCTGGCTTCGGATCGGCACAGCACACTGGCCATAGTGGCCATTTGGGGGGTGAACCAACAGAAGGAAGACCTTTCTCTCTGTCTCTCTCCCTCACTGTCTAACTGTACCTGTCAAAAGAAAAAAAAAAAAAAGCGCAGCAGTTGCATCTGTTACTATCCAGCTGGTACACAAGGAGAACCCCAGTGAGGATGAAAGTCCGGAAGAGTAACTGATGGGGACAAGGCACACAGGCTCTGTCTTACTATACAACACTGGCTGCAAATGTCTCACCACACACCAGGAAAGCTTCTTCCTGGGGGGAAGGGGCATACAATCCCTCTAAGATGTGCGGGGGAGCAAGCTTCAGAAGCCTTCTCTGGGGGCCGACATTGTGGTGCAGTGGGTTAAGCTGTCGCCTGCAATGCCAGCGTCCCCTTGAGTGCCAGTCGGCATTGAGGTTGATCTACTTCGATCCAGCTGCCTGCTAACGTGCCCGGAAAGCAGCAGAAAATGGCCCAAGTATTGAGTCCCTGCCACCCACATGCGAGACCTGGATGGAGTTCCTGGTTCCTGGCTTCAGCCTGGCCCTGTCCCAGCTGTTACAGTCATCTGAGGAGTGAACCAGCAGATGGAAGCTCTCTGTCTCTCCCTCCCTCTCTCTTACCCTCTTTCAAATAAAGCTTTCTCTTAAAAAAAAAAAAAAAAAGAAAAGAAAAGAAAAGAAAAACCCTTCTTCGGCCATCTCTAGAATGGACATGACTGTCCACTATTTAAATAAAACGCAATCCATAATATAAGCACATTTCTATTTTGGGTTCCCTTCAATGTCAATGTCACAAATAGGATGTGGGTAGTCACCGTACTTTCACATCGTTAGGATTCAGTTAAGCCTTCCCCGGATTATAGTGCAAAAACAAGATTCCCACTATGGCGGTCAAAGACCAGCTTTTTCTCCAATCCCCCCCTGGTGATTTTAGAAGGGAAAAAGGATTCCTTTTCCCCAGGGAGTGCACTGTCAGGGTCACGGATCTTACTCAAGTCCATTCTTCAAGGCCCTGTAGACCTCCTCCACCCTTTTAGGCTGAGGTTCTTTGGGAGGGTTGTTGTTTTTGTGCCCTAAATTGTGCATTTTCTTCAGCTTGGCCTGGGGCTTCTTGAGAGCAGAGGAATTTTCGATGAAGGAGTTACACCTACGGAAAGAAACAAGAAACCATGAGCCCCAGGCATCCGAAAGGACTTGACCAGCGAAATGTCTTTTCAACCACCCTGTGTTCCTGTTCCTGTCCTTTGGGAAAGGTGCCGATCCCTTGTGCAGCCACACAGCTGAGCCACCCTACATTTAGTTTCCTGATATTTGCTAACTACAGGAATCTGAAAGTTCTGCCAGACTGAGGCCACTCAGAGAGCCCAGCCTTGGGCGCTGTGCTGTTCCTTTGTCCCTCCTGGGAAGCCAAGGGCAAACAGTTCCAGGTGGATAACGAACAGGCAGAAGATGATCAAACCAGGAAATGCTCACTACGCAACATCAGGGACAAGTGTCTGCTACATTCCACCAGGATGTGAATGAATTTTTTTCTGCTAAGGGGCTGTACGCATGCCAAATAGCTAATTCTGCACGGCACCAAAGAAAAGCGCACATAGCTGGATTGACGGCTTTCTTTCAAGGCTTCTTCTCATAAAAGATAATGTTTAGGTATAACTTGCAAAAATTCAGTATCTGCTCATGGCAGAGATGCAGCTGACAGTGATAAGACAGACATGGAATCAACCAGAGTCCTGGCCGGACTGTCCACTGGCCAGTGGTGGGAACACAGGGTACGTGACACCAACAGGTGCCTGCTAAGCTCCCTGCAGGTGGTGTCACTTCAGTGTCTGCTACCACCATGTAAGCCACATGGGATCACAGAGATGGAGACTTCTGCAGAGATGTTACCCACTTTACCTGGGCTTGCTCTCTTGAGCTCCCCCCAGTCCAGGTTTAAATGATGGAAGGCTAACTTCTCCAGCCCCTGTCTGAATGACATCTGCTCCCAGAGTTATGCACAGAGCGGTCTTTACCCATGGCGTAACTTCCGACCGGACATGATCTCCCTAGTATCAACGTAATGGAAAATGGGCTTCCAAAGCTGGGAATGGGGGTGAGCGGAAGTTTACTAAACCCCATCACTAGCTTGTCCTAAGCCCTCAGCCACCTTCTCTGCAGGGGAAATGCTAAGTGACAGAAGAGACAGGACAGCACCTAAGTTTTGGTGTGTCACATCCTTCTCATGAAAGGGATTACACAGCACGTGTGCAAAACCGCATGCGCCCAGCCCGAACCCCTCCAGCCGCAGCCCCGGGGGGACACACAGCACTTGCCTGGACCGTCTTTCCTGAAGCCCGCTGAACCCTGCAAAAGACTGGCTTCTGATGATCCCATTGGGCCCTCCTGGAGAGAAGGACTGGGATCCTACCAGCATGATTTCTGGGAGTCTGGTCGGCAGTCCTGGAAGATAGGAGAAGAACCCGTGGTGTGACACAGGCAGGTGCAGCCCGCAACGCTAGCAGGCTGGCACAGCTGAAGCGAGTTGTCAGCCTCTCAGATGCTCACGAAATGCAGCTCGTTAGGTTCAGGTCTTGGGAATAAAACAGAGACCCACCTGCCTCGACCGAACTAAATGTAAATCACGCAAGATCATCAGTCCCTCAGGAATTTTTTAAACAAAGTTTACCTTTACCTTCAAAAACATGAAAACATTTGCAATATTTACCTCCATCCAACAACAACAAAAACACACAAACAGGCCACGTCAGAGCTTCAGGTAGGCCCTGAGTGGAAATTCAACCCAGAGCACGCAGGTCTTAAGGTAGAATTCTACACTCAGAAATCAGAAGGCTGAAAACACTGGGCTCCTTGAGCGATGAACTTACTTCAACTTGCAGTCTCTCTCCGTCTTTAGAAAGATAAGCTTTGTGCCCAGGCACAATGAGAAGGGTACAGGGAACAGTCACAAAAGACATGATAATCTAGGTGAGATAAGGATGCAGGAGAGGGAAGAAAGCTCAGGAGGAAAATCCAGTGCAGGAGACACACAGCCCGGATTTCAGGTGTTAGCTGGGCTTTTGTGAAGGTCCCCCTCCCCCTGCCCCGGGGACAGCCAAGATGGCCAAGACACAACGCCACAGCTCTGCTGGACAGAAGCCCCAGGTCAGTTCCCCCAAGGGATTGGATCGCCCTAGAACTGCAGGGTAAGGGGTAATCGTATTCCCATTAGACCGGCAGGGTCAGCACACATACCATTGTCTTGACTGGTGACTTCAGTCCAGAGCAGGATGGGCTAGCAGGAGAAAGCGGAGGCAGGCTACTGCCTGGCTGGGGGACTTCCACACCAGGCAGACAGCCTTGAGGCGACTGAGGAGCCACCAACAATTGCCCTTGACAGAGCCAGCGAGAAAGGAACAGAGGCTGAAAACCAACAGCAGCCAGGTCTCCAGCTGCAAGGGAGAGACCCACCCTCCTCCGGCAGGCTCAGGGAGGAAGGAGGCTGCAAGGAACTACTTCCCCGAGGGAGGAGGGTGAGCAGCCCCCTCCCCCTGGCGGCTGCAGGTTTTTATGGCCCCTCCCGCCCGCCCTCCCTCCCAGCCTCTCCAGGAGAGAGGCTCTGGGATTCCTCTGCATTCTTGCAGGGCACAGGTACTGACTCACAGGGCCTGGGGTCTGGGAACAGGCTCGCTCTTTGATCTGGGTGGGACACAAATCTCCCAGCAGTGCGGAGGGGAAGCTTAACTTTTGACGCACTCTCTAGATTTTTGAAAGTTAGCGAGGTCTGTATGAGCAGTAAAGTCCCGAGTGGCCAGACAAAACACAGGTGCAGACAAGGCTCCCGCTGGGTAGTTCTCCCCACCCCCAGCCTCAGCAACAACCCTAATTCCTCTGATTCCTTCTCGAGGCTCCCGAAGCGCTCTCTGCTGGTGGTAAGGGGTCTGGACACCTTTCCCCCGGATGGAAAAGCACACTAGGGCGGGCGATCATGGGATCACACACAAACTTCTAACAACTAGCAAGAAAGCAATGCAATGCATGCTCTTTCCATCCTTAATAGGTTCACAAATACCCACTTTACACAGCGTGGCAACTCTTATTAGTATTGTACCTCATTTTGTAAATTACTCAATAGGACTATTGCATCATGGACATTCTTTGGTTATAGGAAAGGACTTAGAATATTTAAAATATTTAACTGAATTATTGTCTTCTACCTCCTAGAAATTATATATTTTAAACCAGATAGATTCCTTCCCCCATCTCAGTTAATTTAAACTATGGGTGCCCGAGTCTCATCCCTGGGCACTCTGATTTAATTATTATGGGGTTTGATCTGGGTCTGGAGACTTTTTGGAAAAGGTTCTCAGGTGAGTCTGATGTTTAGCAAAGACTGGGAACCACTGAGAAGTTTTTTATTACACAACCAGCTGCACCAGTGATAGGCAGAGAGAGATAAGAAAAAGACGTGGTGACTTGGTTGCAAACTTAAAAGTTCTGTTAAAATAGTCTGCAACAATTTATCTAATCCAGCTTTAAAAAAAAATGGCATTCAGTGTTAAGCCCCTTTTGGCAAAGTTAAAGAATTAAAACCTATACGTGTGTACCAGATTGAGAAATCATCTTCCGTCTTTTTGTTTTCCTTTACCAGGTAGGAAAATCTAAGAAGAAAGCAAATTCCTCCAGGATCCTAAGATTGTAAAATGCTTTGGGAAGGGCAGAAACCCTCAGAAACTTTTCTTTAAGCTTATTACATGTGAAGTAGATGACTCGGGGCAATGAGCTGGGGCTGAGAGCTTTTGCTAACATTCTGTTTTGTTGTTGTGGTCTTAGAAATGATCGTTATCTATCAGGGAAGAATTTGGCCAAGGGCTGGCTTAGGCTGAGATCTCTATCCTGCCATCAATTCCCCTGAAGGCGCTGACACACAGCCCAGGGAGAATCATAAAACAAGCAGCGCATGCGCATGCGCATGCGCATGCGTGAGTTGCCAGTGGAGAAATAGGAGGAGGGGGCTGGGGCTGGGGCCGACTGGAGTGAGAGGTACAAGAGCATGGCAAGCATCCCACTCCCCATCCTCCCAGATGCTGAGAAGGGCAAGAGTTCTCTGCCCCGCTTCCTCCAGCACCCCCAGCTGTTCTTCAGTTGCAAGTTATTTTGCAATTCTGTTTCCATCTTTATCATTCATGTTCTTGGTCACCCCATTTCCACCTCTTGAGTGCCCTGTGTTTACGTTCCTCCCTGGCTTCCCAGGAAGTCTCATAGACCTGCTCTCTCGCCAGCTTCCAGAAGAATTACCCCCAATTTCCACATTTTTAAGGAAGGAGTTCATTCTCATGCTACAGTCATTTTTATTTTAAGAGCAGGTGCTCCATTGGACCAAGAACCTCCACTCAGAGAAAGGATTATGGCAGAAACTCTGTCACTGCTGGGAGCGCAGGGTGTGAAGTGGATGAAAATCTTGGGGGATAATTTGGCAGTATCTATTTAGAATGTAAAACACACTTATGGGGCTGGCGCTGTGGTGTAGTGTGGGTAAAGCTGCCACCTGTGGCACCCCATATGGGCGATGGTTGGAGTCCTGACTGCTCCACTTCTGATCCGGCTCCCTGCTAATGCGCCTGGGAAAGCAGCGAAGATGGCCTAGGTGTTTGGGCCCTTGCATCCACATTGGAGACCTGGAAGAAGCTCCCGGCTCTTGGCTTTGGCCTAGCCCAGCCCTGGCCCTTGTGGCCATTTGGTAAGTGAACCATTAATGGAAGATCTCTCTCTCGATCTGTCTCTGTAACTCTGCCTTTCAAATAAATAACTAAATCTTTTAAAAAAAACAAAACAAAGAACACACTTATCATCTGGTATCTCCCCCCGAGAAGTGCCCACGTGCACAAAGACGCACATACAGCGTGTTTACCACATTCAGTGTTTCTAATGGAAACAGGAAATGATGCTAGACATTGCTGGAATGGCCGGGATATTAGGCATAACCACGAGATGGAATACTATGCAGCAGCTAAAAATAACATGCCCATGTAGAAAGATCTCCACGACAAACAGCAAAGCAAAACAGAGGATGATCCAGAACGCTTAAAAATAAACCCGTGTACAACTATGCACACGAAGATAAAATTGCTGAAAGTGCACAGGGTCTGTGTTGAGGTGGGACTGAATGGCTGTCAGGAACATTTTAATGCTTTCTACGTTATAGTAATTTTTATAGAGGAAATGCAGTCATATATTCATATGATACAAAAAATTATTTTGAAATCGGAGATGGGAGCAGAGGAGACAGCTCACATTCAAGACTGCCTGTTAGGTAACAACTAAAGCGTTTTTATAAGTCTGGCAAAGGAGATGATTTCTAAGAATAGCATCAGGTTCCGTAACTTTCATAAAACCAGACAATTTAGATTCCCCCCATGAAGTCCTTCCTATGAGCGCCCAGCCTTGTAACACCGCCATGATTTTCATCTGTGAAATTTCTAGAGGTGGACCGTGTTGCTGGCTGTAGGCACCCTACTTGACACGTGTTGTTAAGGTTCTCCGATGACAACATCGAACAAGCAAGACTCCACGTAAACAACAAACTCATCTTTAGAAACTGCCCCCCCCCCCCGAATCTCTGAGGCTTTCCCAAGTGTTTCTGGTCCCTGAGGCAGAGTCCTCTCCTGATCTTTCCGAAAATTCCAGCAGAACCAACGTCCCTTTCTGTGCATTAAATTCCAGAGAGGTTTCACATGTTAGGAGAGCAATGAAGCTGCGCGGGTCTGGTCCTCACCCGGCTTTGCACTTTGCAGAAGCCCCATACTCCTCTCTGCCCCTGCGGTCACCCCTGGCAGCCACCCTGCCCTGCCCTGCTCTGCCACTACCAATGGGAATGACAGGATCTTTCTGGAAAGAATTCAAAGCCTCTTGGCCAAGAGTTCCATGACCTCTGCTGTTCTAAGTGGAACCTCTTGGTGCAGAAGCCACAGTGGTTTCTCTCCTCGACTCTTCACACAGTGAAAAAAACTTCTCTGGGGTCTGCAGAGCTAAATTATAATTAAACTCATGCTAGGGACCTTTGCAATGAGAATAAGATTTTTTTTTTTTAAAATATTTATTTACTTGAAAGGCAGAGTTAGAGAGAGGCAGAGGAGAGAGAGGGAGAGGGAGGTCTTCCATGTGCTGGTTCATTCCTAAAATGGCCAGAACGGCTGGAGCTGGGCTGGTTGAAGCCAGGAGCCAGGAGCTTCTTCTGGGTCTCCTACATGGGTACAGGGGCCCAAGGACTTGGGCCACCGCGGTAGAGAGCTGGATAGGAAGTGGAGCAGCCAGGACTCAAACCTGAGCCTTGGCACCACAAGTGGCCGCTTTATCTGCTATGCCACAGTGCCAGCTCCAAGAATAAGATTTTACCTGCTGTATTATGATCACAATGATATAGGTGGACACTAGTTCATTGTTGCCTGACCTGACACTTTGAG